GGCTTTTTTCACTCCAGCGCTGTCCTACCAGACAGTCTCGTCCCTTCACCTGATGAAGGCCGCTTGTGTTGTGGCCAAAACGTCGTGAGAATATTATTGTTATTTTATCAATTTATTATTTTATTCTCATTCTACGTGACTTTACCGAAAGAACCAAAGATGGAACTTGTGAATATGGGTCATGTCTTAAAAGCAAGCACTTATGTGGCTGACCACCCTTGCATTTCTATTGCTGACATGTACCGACACTGATACAAAGATCCCCCGTATAGCCTTAACAGACTGTTGGGGCAAGTGCTGTTAGCGAGCCCCTATGAAAGCCGGCACGGCACACGAGGGGGTGGGTGGCCAACACCACGCCCGGCCGCCTTTCTCTCCCTCGTAGCGATATTTACGCATCGTACCTGGTACTCATTTGAGTTTGAGTCGAACTAGGGGAGGCCCAAGACCGGTTCAGATAAATCGCCACTGGTGTCGGCAGTGAGAGGGAATCGAACTCGGGCCACCGGGTTCGTAGCGCAGCGTGCACCACATATACGTACACACTTCACTGCACTCTTTTCCACATTGCTGCTGCGTGCATTGGCTTCTGGCAATCGTGCCCCTGCAAGTAAGCAAGAATTATAATGCCAGACTTCATCACAAGCCATCAAGTTGGATATGACGAATTACATGAACGAATGCCAGTGCACTCACTGCAGTGCTGTCAGAAGCAAAAGTCGTTTGGAATGAGAGATTTAAAGGCAAAGCCCAGGTCCATGCAAAATTGGTCTCGTGTCATTTTTTTAAGTCATGGGCTGTAAATGTTATTGATGGGCTGAAATTTCCTGAAACCTGTACTTTTGTCTGGTTAGTTTTTTCTTTAAATGCACCTCAATGTAAAAAAAAAAAGTTTGAAAGAGAGAACTCTGTGGTTTGCCAACACTGAGTAGTTGCACAACCCTTACCTTTGTCCTTGAGCAAAAAATATACATATTTCGTACTCAAGTTATTAAAAAAAGAGGCATCTGTAGGGAAGTGTTATTGAAAACAATATATATGTTATGGCTCAATGTCCTTGAATGAACTTGTACCATCGGGACTGCCCAAGTGCTTTCAGAGTTACTGCATATTGAACTGTCCCAGCATCAAATTATGATTTCATTATTTCAAAACTTAAATGTCACGACATCTAAAAGTGTAAAACAAAACCACGAGAAAACAAACATTAAGGGCAAATAGGGAAAAGTTAGGTAAAATAAGCCATAATGAACAAAATTCACCTTCAATAATGACCATTTAATAAGAAAAGCTTTTTCTGTCTTAACACTTTTTAAATCGTTTAGCCTTTTTTCTAGATGTTTACTTGGAGGTAAAAAAAAGTTCTAACAGCCGTTGCCATAACAGTTTAAGCTAAACAGAGGATCTGGATATAGAAATCTGGGGTTAAAAGGTGTTGGTAAACACCATGGGACAAAGGAGTGGAGTGGCTGCATTTTGTAAATGTGTACAAACAGAATAGCATGTCATGCCTGCTTGTAATAAAGAATTCAAGTCATTGTATCTCTACCAAAATGAGCAATGGGGTACTACCAAGCCAAGTGTAAATTACACATCCATAACTGGGCCAGTATATCCATAGGATGACGACTGTTGACTGCGTAATAAATGTGAGTGGAAAGTTGGGGGAAATCAACTCAAACTGATCGAAATTTCGACTTGCAACCTCAAGAGAATAGGTTTTCCCCTTTTTTCTGGCAACAAAACAGGTGTTAAGATGTTAAAACACCAAACTGAAACCTTTTACAAGGAATCATGTCTGCATTAACACTCTGATAATATATACATTGTCTTTGAAACGAATTGTTCCACACCAGAGACAGCTTTCTTTTGAGCCTAGTCTCAAAACGGTGTTAGACCAGAGGACGCCAAAAGGCGTACAGCAGCTGCATCATGGACCAATGCATTCTGACACAAGTATTGTGATTAATACAGACATGATCCTTGTGTAGCGTCATTGTTGAGCGCTGTGTGCAAACGCCGCTACTCGTAGCCTGTAGTCGCGGCCCTGTGTCAACTGGGGACGGAAGAGAGGCTGAGCCCGATAGTTTAGATGAACTCGGGCCGTTGGGCCGAGGTAACCCCTAGGGAGCATCGTGACCGGAGGTGCAGACCCCAGACCCCCACACTTCAGGTCCCTCTGGAAGGTTCCAGAAGGGAGGAGTGGCTAGGGGCGGAGTGAGCCGGGAATGGGTATAAAAGCCGGACCCCTGAACGGGACCGGCAGTTGTCGTCCACTTGAAGACTGAAGATCACTTGAAGACTGAAGATCACCCTGAAGACCTAGGAGCCGGAGCCGGACCCGGACCCGATGACTTTGGCTGAGCCAGGTCCGAGCAGCCCGGTGGATAGGACCCGAGGACCTTGGCTGGGTCGGGTGAAAGTAGCCTCCTTAGGTCTCGCTAGCCAGAGGACCCTTATCTAAGATACCCTCCCGTTGTGTAGGTCATGCTAGCCCGGGAGGACGTACCTCCTTAGTGTATCGGGTGGAAGGGGCCGTTATCCCTTCGTGTCAGGGCTGTACTGGTTATCGTGTAATAAACGTGTTGCCTCCAGTGATCAGTCTCCCTCCAGTATGTACCCACCACACTTGTGAAAGGTTTCAGTTTGGTGTTTTAACATCTTAACACCTGTTTTGTTGCCAGAAAAAAGGGGAAAACCTAATCTCATATTTTGGTAGTGGCAAAGGTCCCATGTTTCAACCTCATGATTGAGTCAAATGCTCATAACCTCAGCGTATCTGATCGGAGTACCTTCTGCGCTGTCTTTCTCCAGAAATTCAATCGCCTTTACCAGGTGTCGCTGGGCCAATGCCTGCAGGTGAAGAGCATGACGGACGTGAAGGGGCGTGTGGTCATGGAGATCTGCAATGGCTCAGAGCAGCAGCAGTGGCAGGTGGTGGAGGAGTGAGCATGGCCTGGAGATCGACCGTGTCTCACTTGGCACCCAGTGCCGATGGACAGAGGTACGAAGTTCTTGCCGCCACAAGCGAACAAGCAGAAGCCAAGGTGTTGTTGGGAGGAACAAATTCACTGTGAAACGTAAACTGCAACGAGCTGATGTCTTGGCGGTGCCAGAATGCTGTAAATAAGGAACACACGTCCTCGGTCAGCTGCATCGAACTTTGGACTTCAGCGGGGCAAAGTGCAAGCAAAGGAGAATGAGCACAAATGGCTTCCAGACTGGTGCCAGCCACCCTGCAGCACGATGGACCTCAATCTGAAGACGAGGGCTGCTTGTGGGCTCCATGACGCAATACTTTTAAAACCTGTGATGCTGTACACATTTCCTCATAACAATGCAAGGAAAGCCACATACTTAATGCTGAGGTAGGGTTGTTTAGTAAACGTTTACAACTTGAATATTTCATCACCAGCTGTTTAAGCTGCCAAATGGAATTGGCTGTAGTTAATTTCCCTAAATGTGTTTAGTGATTTTAAACAGTAGCCTTTTTACAAAATTACTTATTGCCAAAAAAGTGCTTAATTTAAAACACCGTAAGTATTTAATATTTTTAATTTCCGTGCACATTTTGAAATGTAATTTCATAAAAATGCCTTTACCAGTGTTTTTAATTAAATAGTGTTGCAATGTACCTTGTGTGCGAATCTCATGTCGCGGCAGTAGGTCTTCTAGGTGAATCAGCGTAACTGTGCTCTGCAAAATGCTTAATAAACGATTTGTAAATGTCGTCGATTTCCTCATCTTTTTCCAGATGTAATCTCATGTGCAGTGGGGGTAGGACCTTCCATCCACTGTCAGGTAATGCCACACACATTTTAAAGTTAAACGGATGTTATCTGGCAAAGAGTAAACATTGTCAAATTTTGATTTAAAGCTTTCGTGACTGCAGGGATTCATATTCCTGGTTCTTTCGGTAAAGTCACGTAGAAGGGAAACAATAAAATAATAAAAATATAAAACAATAACATTCTCACACCTGATGATGATTGCTTGTGTTGGCAGTCGAAACGTCGTAAGAATTTTATTGTTTTATATTTTTATTGTTTCCCTTCTACGTGAATTTACTGAAAGAACCAAGAATATTGTCAAATATGTAAATAAAATGGCTCTGTATAACAAGATTTCCCCAAATATATATGGACTAGTAATTTAAATCCCAAAATTGAGCCGATTTGGCAGGGATGTGTCATTTTGATTTCACGTTTGTAGAAGAGCAAAGGGAAATCTAATGGAAAGCTGAGCCATACGAGTCACCCACGTGTGTGCTGCTATTTATAGTTTACAATACAAGTTGTTAAAAAACGCATATTAAGCTTTGAAAATGCTCCGCTAATTTTTATGTATCTGCATCCAAATGGCTGTAATGCAATGAGGGGTGTGTCTTTTATTATTACGATGCTTGTTTATCCAGGAGAGCCTCATTAGGTCTCAGGACTTTTTCAGGAGGGTGCTTTCAAGTTCACAGTAGAGGGTATTGTTAATTTGTAGTCGAAATTAATTTACAGGTACTGTTTTAGCACGGGGGTGTGTGGCCAACACCAGTTATTGATTTGTTTTAGCTATGGGAGAAAACCAGAGAACCTGGAAGAAATATATGCAGAACAGGGGGAGAATTTACAAATTCCAAACACAAAGGTGCCCGAGTCAGGAGTCTAACCCAGCAACTTCCTGCGATTAAAGACACGTGTTACCAATGTGCCATTCTGCCTGAATTAGAAAAACAAGCTATAAACAATTGTCCACTCCACTATCCTTTCTCTCAATGTCTTGTGTCTACTATGTAAGGCCATCGTGATAGAATTTCAGACTTTTAAAAGGACACTTTCAAACACTTTAGAAGAACCTTTTGGATTCTGGAGCAACCTTTCAATGGGCTTTAAGACCCTCAAAATTGTGCATTGGTGTCACAAGAAGGACTGAGGCAATTCAAATAATTTTCTATTATGCCATTACAATATATAAATTAAAGGCTTTGCTAAAAGATTAGTAATGCAAGGTTATTTAATAATCACTGCTTTATTTCTTTCACACAGTCAAGAACCTCTTCAGTAGAGTTTTAGACATGATTCCATACATACATGGCAACAACCAGCGATACCCACTGGACGAGTGATATATCACCATTCTGTACAGGAAAACCCCAGGGTTAAACATTTTAATACAGACAACTATGTACATTGAATTCCATTGTCCAGTACAAAATAAAACATGCCATATACATTCAATTTCTGTGAAAAAGGCATGTAATTACTGTATACAGTCCACTGCTAGCACTTAAACAGTTATACACACAATTTTTCAATTCTGCTTAACAGCAAACAGCAAAATATGTTATGCAAAACAATTTCCAAATTATCCATTGAAAGCAAATAAAAAGACAAACACATAACTACAGCAAGACAGAAAAACAATCCAGTATAACCTAAAGGAATATGCACACGCACACCCTTGCACAATAGTGGTGTTAGCATTCCAATGAGCCTAAAACTAAGGTCAGAAAAATGTCATGGCAAGCTTCTCAGACACAACTACCTACAACATACACATGGAAAAATAGTTTATTAAAACCTGTTACAGAGCCACCTCTAGTAAATTCACAGTAACAGCCACAAACCGACCCACCCCAGCGCACCTGTCCCCACCAGTACTCTTAGCTGAGCCAGGTAAGCACGTTTGGTCGATTCGATCCCACGCCCATTTCCTGCTTTACACACATGATATTTACAGTACTTTGTACATGATAAACTCTATAATGATTTTTCTCTTTTTTACGTTTTGTCAGAAACAGCACCCCACTGTCACTTGTATTAACTCTCCACGCGAATCCCTGCCTGTGAATATAAATAAGCTTGCTATAACGTCTTTCATTACAAAACTGAAGCCAAGTGGAAACTGATGAGCAAGAAGCTAGGTCGATTTAGTGCAAGTAGTCCCTTAGTACATTCTTCAGTCTGTGAGATTTTCTTTGCTCTTAAAATCCCTTTTGACTTGCCCAATTTTTTTTTTTACACCTTAAAGGTGGAGAACATTTGGTAAGCAGGCTGCTCTTATTATTTTCAATATAAAATCTCTGCTTAGGGACTTTCCGCTGCACATCGAAAAGCTAATAAATTTCAACTAGACTTCCTCAATATTTGGGAGAATTCTATAAAGGTCTGCAGATGGTTCTGCATCTTGGGGCAAAAAAAACAATGACAGAAAAAAACGTGTCCGGCTTAAAAGGGTCCGTCATTAGCGAGACGCTGACCATTCCGGCAACCTGGGTCTGCTGCCGCCACATCAATTCATCCACTTACGGCAGTTGATGGCCCCGCAGTGACATGGGATTTTGTTCTGGTCATCCTCGAAGTCAAACAGGTAGTCGTAGGTCAGCTGTGGGCAACACGAGACATGAAGGCCACTGTTTAGCATTGTCGGCCGACTTAGAAAAGCCCAGTGTTAGGACATGGGCACTACCGCCCAACCGAGTACTGGGCAGCACTTGTCTATTGTTGGCCTTGAGCTTGTGGTAAGAATTCCACTTATTATAGCAGAAGCAGTTTTACCAAGGGACAACTACCCTTGATCTCCCACAAAGTCATACTTATTAATTAAGAATGAGCAGGTGATGAAACCAGAGTTGGAATCTGTAACCCAAGTGTGAAATAACAATCAGATATTTATATTTTAAATCCTGCGAGTCTCAATACTTTTTTGGGGTGGGTTATCCATTGGGTATTTAGCCAGTGCCTTTAAAACACAGTTACTTACATCTGGGAGGAAACGCAGAGAATAAACACAATAGAGGAAAAACACTCAACATGTTCACAAACCGTTTTTTGACCCCACTTGGTGTATTTCCACCTTCTGATCACCTGACAGTTCATGGGAAGTTAGAGAGTCTCAGATTTACATAGCTCAGACACCGTTTTGTCTAAACCAACAGCCTACAGATATATGTCACCACATTCAGCACTATTCAGTTATATACTGTGGGATATGCAAAAATAAAACAGCAAGATACAGCATAATTCCTCTGTGCAATGATATGGAAGGAGAAAGTTTGAGAAGAGACGCATTTCAGTAAATATTGGGATGCATTTTTATTTTAAAAACCTTTTATCCTGCATGCAAAAAAACCATGAATGAATTTGCATAACACTCCAATGTAGGAGCATTTTGAAAATAAGTTGAGGGATTCCAGGATAATGAGGACATTTATTTATAAAATGTGGTTCTCTCACCTCTTCGCCCTTCTGAATGCGCCGGCAGGAAGAGATGATGATCTTGTTCTCCCGGTCAAATGTCACCAATTCGGCCACACAGTTGGGAGCACACGAATGGTTTATGTATCTGTGGAGATGACAGCAATAATTATTATATAATTGGATTTTAAATGTACACTGCTTACTCGGATTATAATTATCCACAACCTAACCACCAAATCTGGCCAGATAGGACTGTGGTCCAAGCACTCGACGTCCAACTGGAAGGTTGCGAGTTTAAATCCAGATTGAGTTGACTCGGCCCAATGAGATTTCCTGCGGTTAATTTAGAGTGATGGCTCTATGGAGGCTGGTCTCCGTCATATGGCTGCCAATGGAGATGAGCAGTGGCCATTGCTTATTTGAGCAAGAAGACACTTTTCAATTTAATTTCAAGTAGCAACACAAATACTTGTGCAACTACTCAGTGTTTTTTTAATTGCGCAAGTTACTCACACATGAGTAATGCTTAGTTTTTGTTTCCTGATTTGCCACAGCAGCACAGACGTTGAATAAGTGTTATAATTTACTGTGCCCCAGTTTGACACACCGCTGAGTCGTGGATGGCTCTTTCCCATGACATCAGACTGCTCAGCAGCATTTGTTTCATTGGCCACATCATGCTGATGAGACACGAGGTTTTTTTATCTAGCCAAATCTTTGCATGATTTAAATATATGCTACTGGAAAATACCGATTCAAAAATCACATTTTATGGCCTAATTCAATGCTGTTTAACTTTTATATATTATGTTTCCACACGTGAAGAGATCACAAGAGTGCTGATAATGAGAAGTGCCAAAAGCTTTCAATACGATTAGCACAACACATGCAAAACACACACACAGAGTGCCAAATTTGGCAAAATGGAGTTGGTCTGGTTTCTGGTGAAAAAACACCACTTTTAGTGACCATTTCATCTTCTTATCCATCACTGAATGGTGTTCCTTTATACTTGAGAGAACATTTCAGTGTATTCCAATGATCTAAAATAAGTAAAAAAAATGTTGGTCTTCAGAGCTAAGGGAAGCAGGATATGACCTGTTGTAGCCAATAGTGACAAGGTTAGGTGGGACCCTCAAATCACAACACCAGTTATCAATGGTATCAGCTCAGTGTCCTGATTGGCATTCGCCTTTTGAGCCGAGCTGCTATGTTTTTATGTAAATTCACATTGCCTAGATATCGAGTATGCCCCTTACCTGGCAGGCCCTCCTGTTATAGTAGCGTCGATCACATGCTCACTGTCCAACCGGAACATGTAAACACCACGGTTCTAGTGCACAACACCACCCAGAGACAGGACAGGGGGTTATTCAAACTACACATTCACAATGACAACAACGAAGCTTCACAGAAAGCCATCATTTCCCTGTGCAATTATGAGCAGGCAGCATTAAAAACAATATTTCTGCTATAAGTATATGATGTGTCGCAAAACAATTCAGAGGTACCAAGTAGTTAACAAGTTGACCCTTTTCACGTGTAGGTCATTAGTGTGCTTTGAATATTCCAGAATTGCAAGAGTGTCCAATAATATAACTGATCACTGGGTGTTGCTATCCCCATTGCAGTCTAAATCCATTGTATATACAAAATAGCGGACCTCATTGTAATGACCCATGAGGGATTACAAGCCAAGCAACCCTCCAACTAGAATTTAATTCTCTAAAAGTTATGAATGTGAGACGGATGCTCTGTCACTGCCACTCAATGGATCAAAAATGTGTATGTCATCCCGAAAAAAGTACTAAAAATTGTACGCAGATAATTACAGGAATGAAACCTGTAGAGTATGTAATGCTTCCAGTTAGCTCTCAACTGGTGACATGGGATGAAAGATGATGGGCAAGAGAACAGATGGCCAAGAGGGCAGGTACCGTGGACTCGTATAGCTTCTCGTGCCGGTTGGCGACCTCGTTACGAATTATCTCCCCGATGTACTCGATCACCATCGTGTGCTTTTCTATGTCCCTTGATGCGTAGAGTCCCAGGCCCTGTGCACACAGAGATCACGTGCATCCATCACAAGCTCCTCTTCCAACCCCACTAAAACACTGCACACTGGTCTCCTGACCATCTGGAGTTAAAAGGCACAATAAAAGTCTGAAATATCAATGTGAATAAAATCTGATGTTGTATGAAAACAATATGTAGCACAGAACCATGGCCAGATTCCCATAGGTTTCAGACCACCAGTGGCCTGCAGAGTACAAGTTGGGAACCATTAACCTGTTTTGGAATATAACCTTACTGCCTGAATCATTAGCCTTCTATGTTGTATGACTATGTACAATAATAGTCACATCTTTTAAAAATAATTGGTTGTACACCGCCACCAATGCAGTTATTTTTTATTTAATTCGTATTTAAATAATATAGGTGCCATCATACCCATTGCATTTATGGGCAGCAAATCATGTCAGGGAAGTCATCAAAGGAAGACACTACCACTACTTCAGTAATCACTTCAATAGAACTTTCAACCAATATTCGTGGGTGTTTGATGGCGTTAAAAGGCAAAATGTGCTGTCCTCTACAATGGAATAACATAAACTTAAGTAATTTCCAAGTTTACCCAAATATGAACCAGAATCCCAGCAGTGCCAACTCTGTGCTTAGACACAACCGCGTTAAGCCGTGTGTGCCTGCTGGCCTTTGTTGCCGTCACGGCTGCGAGTCGAAGCGTGCGCACACCTGGATACGGGAGCGAGCAAGGTACACGTTGATCTTCCACTCGGTCTTCATGCGGCGGTACTGCGACGATTTGGAGTAGACAAACTGCTTGCTGTAGGGGGCGGAGAGCTCGCCAGACATCGTGCTCTGGAACGACTTGGAGTTGCTGCTGCTATTCAGGGTGTGAGGCCTAGCACGGGGGGCAACAAGACATGATCAACCAACAAGGACTCTGTCAGACCTTTCTTATGCTACAACTATGACCAGCCTTCATGCGGCCCACTTTGTTAAGTGAGAAATCACGACGAATGCTATCAACGCGGCGACCAAACATCGATCATCAATCGCTCCATCTCCAGAGCAACAACAGAAGACTCGCGCCACCAACCGGGTCACTACAGTAAAGGGGAGGGGGTTGGGGAGGGGGTTGGAGAGGGGAGGCAGTAGTGGGGGCAGAGTGGAGAGGAGGGGTAGAAGGAGGGTCCCAAGGTAGAGAGGAGGGTAGACAGGTGGGGATGTTGCTCCGCACCTCTTGAAGTGGGAGCGCAGACGAGGCTCGGTGCGCGCGCAGCCCGAGGGATTCACGGCCAGGGGCAGCTCCATGAGCGGGTGGCGCCCATAGCGGAACATGTAGTTCTGGCAGCACTCGACGCCGGGCAGCTGCACGCGCACGTGGGTTCGGCACACCGCACCCTCGCGTGAGCGCCCGTCAACACCACGCACCCAAAGGCCAGACTCCGGCACTGCGTATGTATACAAGGACTGCCCCCGAGTTTGCCTGACACTTGCATGTCTTATAGATTTTACTTCTCAAGAAGTTGTTAACAATGTGCTGAACAAGAAAGGTTTGTCTTCAGTTTGTCCCTGCCTCTGTCATGATGTAGCATAGTAAATCCATGAGAATATTTTTCAGGGCCAAATTGTATTTTATATGCAGGAAAATGTGAAATAATAGCAAGATGAAATGGAAAAGTGTGAATATTGTGAAGTCTGCTTTTCTCTCTCACTGCCTCTCCTGCTGTTTTTCTCTATGCATATCAATCATGCTCACTGCTTCTCGTGTGCTGCGTGTCACTCCCTTATTCGCGTTGCACGCACGTCTCTCTCAAAATATTCCGCTGACATTCTCAAGCTCCATTCCACTGTTGTGTTGTCGGTTCAACCCAAATTGTAATGTTTTACTTCTACAGTGTTTTTTGTATTTATGCCAATGCTTCAACATCCCCGACCATCACTGGCAGTGTTTGGAATGCTTGTTTCCAATGGCAGTGGCTCAGAGCAATTGCAGCCATGATCTTCAGTGTTTAACACGCATTTGCATCTGGTTTCTTTGTTTCATTTGCATGTCAAAAGCAGAGCATAGAAGGTGTCCTCATGCACTCCTTGTAATTCAAAATATCAAACAATACGAGTATGCCATAGGAAGGAAGCAAACTCTTCAACCAAACCAACTGCAGTTCAATCACTAAAAGGAAGACCGTTTTTCAGCACGCCGATTTCCGCACCCTACATTAGCAGACCAACGTATACATTTTTTCTAAATTATAAGTCATTATACACATAATTCCCACAAACACCAAAGCAGCGAGCTATTACGCACAGATCTAAGAGAGCGGTGACGAGGATGTAGGTTTATTCCGTTAACGAAGATGCCTCACCGACTCGGTGATGCGGAGTACAGCCTGCACGGTGAGGCCAAACATCTCCTCCCCTCGCATGTAGTCGGGGAACAGACGCAGCATCTCGGCGCCCTTACGCAGCCGCACCACAGGCTCCAGGATCTTGTCCCACACCCCTGAAAAAGGACACAGACAAACCAGGCAGGAGCTCAATGCTATTGTGCATATGCAGGTTAACTCAAGATAGTGCTTTCAGTTGTGATATAGAATGGTGGACATATGCAGGACTTGTGTAACACTGTGTGGCAAATGAAAACGTGCAAATATCGTCAATGAGCGGCTTTTGCAGACATGTCGTCACACATTACATTGTGGAGTTACATGCAGCTAAAAAACCACCAAGAGCTTTCATGGGTGCTTGGTGTGCAACTGGGGGTCACACTCCACGGCGGTGGAGGCGGCGAGGTCGCACGCGGCCACTGCTTGGTCATACCCTGCGGCGTGGAGGCGGCGTGCACCAGATCCTCGTGGCCCTGCTCCACGATGCGCACCGTGAACTGCGGTCGCCCCTCCGCTTCGCTCACGGAGCATAGGTAGCGGCAGCGCTTGTTGGTGTACCGCGTGCTCCAGTAGAGACGCGTGGCCTGGTAACCGATGGGGTAGAGCGCCGTGCGGCTGTGGAAGTACGGTGAGGAGGCCTGGCCCGGCAGGATCTGACCCAGCGCGTGGAAGAGGAGGCTGCCCACGCGGAACGTGCCGCCGCCCATCGGGCCGCGCCGCACCAGGCTGGCAAGCTGCCGCACCTCGTCGCGCTGCACATAGACGCGGCGCAACACGGCGAAGCAGCCCAGCTCCTGCCCGGTGGAGCTGCGCGGCCGATGCGCGGGGCACAGCACCGTCTTGTCCTTGAAGAACATGCAGCGCATGCGCAGAGCGCACGCAAAGTGGTAGACGTTGGGGCAGCGCGGCCGGTTGCAGCTGGTGGTGGCTCCCATGCGCAGGCAGGCACCGCACTTTGTTCCGAGGCCTCGGCGGCGCGCGCCCTCCACGTTGATGAGGGCGCCGGCCTGTGTCTCGTACACCTCGCTGGACCACAGGGCACAGTTCAGGTGGACCCAGATGTCGAGGTCGAGGTTGAGCAGGCGGGCGGGGCCGTCAGTGGCACCGTCGCCCTGCAAGTGGCAGAAGGAGCAGCTGCGCATGTCTGGGGGCGCCGGCTCGGGCCGCAACGACGTACCCAGCTTGCGCATTAGTTCCTCAATCTCATCCTCGCTTGGTGGGCGCAAAACCCCGCTGTGAGAGAGCACCGTCACCTGCAACCGCCACTTCTTCCAGCGGACGCCCTTCCACTTCTTGCAGGCGGGCGGCTGCACGATGATGGGGCGGGGGGGTGCACGTGGCGGGGAGCTCATGGGCGGCCGTGCGGGCGAGCAGGCCAACCTGGGCTCCTCCGGCATGTCGGCTGCGTGCACTGCGCGTGGCGCACGGGGCTTGTGGCTCTTGCTGTGGACGTTCGACCTGGGTGCCGACACCGACGACGCTGCCGCCAAACCCTCCGCCTCCTTCATCTCGAGCTTCACGCCACCATCCAACGGCGCCGACGGCTGCGAATCCGGCGCCGCAACTTGAACTGGAACATGGAGGCCGGGCTCGCGGTCGGGTTCCGGGTATTTGGGCAGCGTCCGCACGTCCAGGCACATCTCCCCACGCTGGTACGGCTGGGGGGGTTGCCCGGGTGGTGCCTGTGCTCCGTCCGGGGGCTGCTGTGACGCTGGCGCTGTGCCGGGCTGGGTCACAGGCTGCTGTGTGGGCCCCGGCTGGTGGCGGGCATTGGGACCTCTCCCTGGCGTGTGGGGCCCAAACGTTTGTGGTGCCGCTCTGAGCCTGTCCTTCTCATCGGTCACCGGATCGCCTATTCTCACGCGAGGGCTCTCCTAAGAGAAAAACACAAACGTTCGTTATAAACCCTTCCATTGTCGATGTCCAGGACCAACTACTTCCTCTCTTCTTCTGTTTCTCTATATTTTTAACCGAACCCAGTGCTTACCGCTTGTAAGAAAGAACAATTTGTACCTACTGTACACAAAGGCTGGCCAGCTGACCACATTAATTCCTCGTGCCACCACCTCTTTTCTCTGTCATTGCCATGTGTGCAGCAGAAGACCCAAGTTCCTTCTCTAAAAAGTGAATTTTTTGTTTTATTTTATCTTCCCCACTAACCCATTTCCTGCCTCTCCACCAAAAAAAACTATCTTTAACACATCTTGGAATGCACTGATCAATGCTCTACTAACACAAACTGCAATGCATTGTGTTCAAGGCTAACCTGCAGAGTTTAGTCGAGGTATGTATTAAGAGGTCAAATCTGTCCTATTTCATGAGATTTTTGTGAGCATGTAGTGCTCTTCCAATGAAAGGAGTGCTATAAAGGAATGTGTAATTTCCACTAATTTGGTCAAGGATCACTGAAAGAGCAATGCCACATTTCCTATCAATGAGACAATTACATTTCTGGACAAGAAAAGTATAATTGTTTTGTCTTAATATGTTTGTGTCAATACAGCAGATTTATGTCTTGCACGTGCATTTCAATTATCTACCTTGGCCTGGCTGAGGGAGGCCTGCAGGGCTGCTGCATACTGTGAGTAGCAGTTGCTGCTGCAGAACACGATCTCTTGGTTGGAGGTTTCAAAAACACTGGTGGAGCCCTGTTCAAAGAGACGCACAGCATGAGTAAAAATATCACTGGAAGGACTGTTTTCCCTTTCCATCCCACTAGAATAACACAACATTCCTTGTGACATGGCTATCCAAAACACATGCATTCTGGGTTTTTTGGACAACAAAGTAGTGCTTATTTCAGCTGTTGAAAAAGTTTAATGCACGTGCATTAATATTTATGTACCAACTTTCTTATATATGTCAAACTGTTTACTCATGAAAGTCTCATAACTTTAGCCAGGAGGGTCTTACTGAGGATATTTGGCCAATTATTTTTTTATTATTTAGATGGGGGAGGCACAACCATAGTAGATGGAGAAATTCCATGCCATTGATAACAGGCAAAAGCTGTAAAGAGACGGCACCTAAGTTTGAACCTTGAAGTACACTTTGAGCGAGAGCGAACCAGGCCTGTGGAACTTATGGAAAAGAATGTGCAGGTGAGAAGGGAATATTAACCTGCACCTAGGAAGGGAAGCACACAACTGGGAGGAGAGGGGAGGGGAGTACACACCTTGACAGAGAAGGGGAGGTCAGCTGCTCGTACACGCACACCCGAGCCCAGCACCACCACATCGCAGTGGCGGCACCACTGCCTGCGTGCCTGCTGCTGCGCCAGCTGCACCTGCTGCTGCTGCGACTGCTGATGCTGCACGTGCTGCTGCTGCGCATGCTGCTGCTGTGCCTGCTGCCGTTGCTGCTGCTGCAATTTCTGCAGCTGTGCCTGCATGCCGGCTGGCTTCCCACCCACCATGCGGCCCGGGGCTACACACAGTTCGATCAAAGTCAGTTCTTTCAAAGTGCTTTATATACGCAATGCAACTCCACGCAGAACAGTGGTTGTTATTCCATTCAAAATCATGGTGTAATTTTAATAAAACATTCCTTGTGATAGGATTGTTCCATTTGTCTATGTAATAATGACTCAGAAATGGCCAAAATCAGACAATCTGTCGTGTAAAGAATGTTTTTTTAATCAGAACGACTGTTATGAATACCTGTATGATCAATCTCTTCGCTCTTTTGCAAATTTTATAATTGTCACAAACATATAATAACGTTTACAATGGCAATAGGTCACAGCTCTTCATTAAATGGTATTCATGAAATTCGCTTTAACAGGGCTTTCAACTCCTAATGACCTATAAACAGTGAATTTGTTTTTTAGGTTTAAACAGGTTTAGCAATAGCCAGATGATGACATTGCTGGACAGATAGCTCTGTTGCCACTGCTAGCTGGTTCCTGCCACAGCTACGGCAAAATACTGGCTCATTATATTACATAACCCAGCCATTAATTTTAGCTGTTAGCCCATTACAAGTGTTTCGATCCTCAAACAAGTTTTGGTGTGTTGTGCGGTGCTCAGAGCCATGCTAGAAGGGATAACTCCATGTTCCTACAGCGGGATCTCGTTGATACATGAGCCAATTTTGATTTCATAAAACAAAGTAAATGTATTAACAGGGACGGGATAGTGGGCGAAGTTGACCCCTGACAGGCATTTGAACGTGCAATCTAATGATTAAGTCAAACACTCCAACTAATGTCGACGGTCCATATGGCGGCATTTTAAACACGAAGACAGAATGATTGTTCTACATGTGAAGGTAATCTCTGACTATTGTTTAGGAATAACTGTAGAAGACAATGAACTGTGATTCTTTCCTCCACACACATTTGCATGTGCACAATATGAACACAGGGTCACTGATACTGGCTATGCATGCGAGGCTGCAGGGGCGGCCGTGTGCTGTGGATGCTGCTGCTGTGGCTGCAGCAGCTCTGCGCATACCGGCATGCTCGGTGTGCTGGCCAGGATGCATGGTGCCCAGGAGTGGGTGCGTGGGTAGTCGCTGTACGGGACAGTCGCTGTACTCGTAGCTGTTGGGCACCGCGACACGCAGCAAGTGTGCCACAGCCGACACCACTCTATTTATGTCCTAAGAAAGAGGCGCAAGCAACACATAACAGGGAAAGGGAGTAGATGGGGCATTGTGTGAGCAGCTCCAAAACTGATATAAGCTAATTCCAGACCACGAGGTGAGGTCGACAAGAATGCAGTAAAGTTCTTACATCAGCAGCGTTGGTGGACAGGGTGAGCGTGACGGAGACGTGGTCATTGCTGTTGTACGGCTGAGGCTGTGCGGAAGTCAAAGTCCCTCCTCTCACGCTCCTCCCCAGTGCTGTTTACACATCCATGGGTAACGCGAGTAGATTAGCAACATGCACAAATCATCAATCTCTGCATCACAAACATCAATTTCTATAGATTAAATAATACGTTAAAATAAAATGTACATGTTATTTATTCGACTATAACCCATACCCAAATTATCCGATTGAGTGGTGCTATGGGACAGCAGTCAATTTTGCCATCAGTAGAGTTAACTCTCCACTCAAACAATATCCTATTCGCTGTTAGCCCTGAGCTAGTGGTGAAAATTATACATTCCTATGGTAAGAGTCAGTCTCTACAGAGGACAACCAATGCTGATTTCCCATGAAGTGATACCTATTTTGTAGACTGAGGAGATGATGGAATTGAACATTAAATGTCAACTGCTTCTAACGACAGTTAGCTGGCTGTGGTGAGAGGCAGTGAAGGATTGAGGCCGAGACCCAGCATGACAAGAGAGGCCAAGGCTGGAAGCCTCTTAAGTCAAGGACAGTGTCAAAGTGAAGGCTGGATCCTCTAAGCTGCGGACAGTGTCAAGGCTGGTGCATCTAATCCAAGTCCTAGGACCAAGTCCATAGCCCTGAGGGAAAGGTCAAAGTAGAGAGCTAACAAATTATCCTCAAGCTCACCCAGAGTCGAGGAATGGACTTGAGGCCTCAAGACTGGTTAATGATTTCTAACGCCTTGTGTCAAGGCACTAATGGCAGTGTGTGCTCTTGGCAGCTCAGTGTGCAAAGTAGTGACGCACGCGGTGGTCCCCGTTTATGTGCGTGGGCTCTGACCAGTGCCGGCGCTGGGCAACAGCGGGATGACGGGGGAGGCGGAAGTGTCGGGACGCTCGTCCATCACAGGGAAACGTGGCGGCTCCGTGCCCGTCACGCTCTCCGGGGACGACGTGAAGATGATGCTATCGGGAGACTCGCGCTCCCCCGGGGCCTCCTGGGGACGACTGTGGGGCCACATTGCAGGCGACACCGTCACCTCTTTGGATACTTTAGTTTGCTTCAACATGCCAATATACTTTTAAAAGCTATCAATCTAACATGTCAAGACAAACAATCGTGAAAGCATCATGAGATTCAGTGATGCTTTCTTGGGTGACGAAAGATAAGTGTCTAATACGCATAATTTTGGGACAGTAATACCTCACCCACACACAGGGATCAGGGTGATTATACTTTAACAGGGCCAACAGAGCAAGACATGTTTCTTTGTCAGTTACGGTTAGCGAAATGAGCAGGGAAAAAGAAAAACCCAGGAAAATGACCAAATACGTTTCTTGCTCACCAAGAGTTCAAAGTCACTGCAACATGTTTATTTGCGATCCTAGCGAGATGCAAACATGAGAGTGCGTTCACGCGGGAGCCTAGGCCCTGATTAAACGGGGGGGGGGGGGGGGGGGGGGGGTGGGGGCAACGACGGAGCGAGCACGGCGGCATCTTCAAGGTATCACAGCAGGCGAGGGGGAACGAGGGTTGTGCAGCGGTGAGGATCAGGGGGGGCCACCTGACGTCCTCCTGGCCGTTGTGGGGCGGCGTGGGCAGTGACGCGGGGACGTCCACCGCGCGTGGGCCCTGCGGAGTCATTTGTCCAAAGCCGTCCACGTAGGGGAAAGGGAATGCCTGAGGCGGCCGACGCGGTTCCAAGCACTTCCCTGGGGCAGCACAGCATGGCAACAGTCGCATGAAGACAACACCAGATACTCCACAGTCATGACATTTATCCAATCTACGCTCCATGAACTAAGTACCTCGCAGTTTGTAAATATGGCTGTTACAGTAATAACTGTGTATGTATCTTCTTGGTTCTTTCGGTAAAGTCACGTAGAATGAGAATAAAACAATAAAACAAAATAAGACAATAAAATTCTCACGACGTTTCGGCCACAACACAAGTAGCCTTCTTCACGTCGTGAGAATTTCATTGTCTTATTTTGTTTTATTGTTTTATTCTCATTCTACGTGACTTTACCGAAAGAACCAAGAAGATTAATCCTTGCAGTCACGAAAGCTTTAAATCGAAATTGAACTGTGTATGTAGTTAAGGAACATTTATCATGTCGTCCTTCAGCATCTCAGATACACGGACATCTTTGCTTCAACAATGTTCTAACACGTTTGATGCTACTTGCGATGTGTGTGGGATATTGTGAACTCTGCCGAAGTGAGACATCTTTGCCGTGGCACAGACACACACCGGTCAGCTCCTCCGCAGTGGCGAAGCCATTGAGAAGCTTCTGGCGCGTGCCAGGTGGAGGCGGAGTAGGAGGCAGCGAGGCAGGCGGTGTGGGGGGATTACTCAGATTCGTCTGCTGTTGGGGTGACAAGTGTGAAGAGACAACAGCTTTAATTATCTGCCTTTCAGTCTTCATTGTTGCCAGTCAATTTGCACGTTAACACCACACTGAAGCTTATTCATCATTTCAACTTCTGCAATCAAATTGCACTTCACAAATTCCAAGGCCTAATTCATGCGCTGGCAGGGGGGGAGGGCAAATTCTGTTGATGTTTGGTGAGTTATCAAGTGCCTAAATGCCCAAACCTCCTGTCTACACGGATGTTTTTCCACCAAGGAATGAAGCCCTCAAAACATATTTTTAAAGGTCATGCTCTTAATGTTTTCTATAATTTTGGTTCAAAATGTTTACTGCATATAAAACACTAGTTCATAAAGCCTGTCTTCGCCAGGCCAAAGTTTTCAATAAATATAATAATTAACCTGTGATTTTTTTACAATTTTTATCTATGATCAGACACTAACTCCTCCAAAAAAAAGTATTTTTCTTTAAAAAACCCTAAAATTGTTGACTACTTGATTCAACTTCTTATCAAGGTGTACCCATCGTAAACTGCTAAAGTTAAAGATTCAGTTATATTTTTTACTAAACAACATTAATCTTAATCTTCTTTGGTTCTTTCAGTTCCTTTCACCTGAAGAAGGCCACTTGTGTTGTGGTCGAAACGTCGTGAGAATTTTATTGTGTTATTTTTTATTATTATTTTATACTCATTCTACGTGACTTTACCGAAAGACCCAAAGAAAATTAATCCTTGCAGTCACGAAAGCTTTAAATCGAAACATTAATTAAGCTCCTATTTTTTTCGTTTAAGAATTATTCAGATTTGAACATTAAATGCGTTTTTTTTTTCAAAACCACTTTCATCCGAAATATCTCAAAAACAATAAAAGATCTAACAATGGTTCTGGATTTAATTTATTTGCCATTTAATGCTCTATCAAAACGAAAAAACCCCGCAATCTTATATTCTAAACGGTTTTTGAATGACGCGCACAAACATGTTTATGAGGCACTTAAAATTGAGATTTGGGGGTCGTAAAATGAAAAAGATTCAGATCCTGTTTTTTGTGTTCTAGAAGTTACCTATGTACCAATTTTTTACTTTTTCCTTTGTCAGGAAGTATCCTGTAGGTTTATGAGACACAGATTAAGGTATTTACTTACATAGATTACAATGAATTGGTACAAGTTTATTTTCGCCAAACCGTGACGCTTAAATTAAGCTAAAACGAATGAGATTTTTTGTAGAATAATTAATCATGTGACTGTGCAAAGACAATCAAATGAACTATGTATAAAATTCTAACCTCAAGGTTATGCAAAAATGACAATACTTGTGCTCACACGTTTTAATACTGGATCCACATTGCCGACTATATCATCATTTTTTTTTCATCTCAGAAAATGGGGGAAGAGGTTAAAACTCACCTTGAATATGAGCTCCGTGTAATAGTCTGGCACGCCATCCAGAACAGCGCTCCCGAAGGAGCCCTTTAGCTGGCTGTCGCCATTGAGCCGGTTCGAGCCATGGGGTGGAAAGAGCCCCAGGTTCACCTTGATGGTTGGCTCAATCAGTGGCAGCAAGGCCAGTTGCTGAAATAATAATGATCAATAATCAAGAAGATAACAGACTCAACATACAATTACTTACACAAACACTGCTGTAAGATTGAATCACACACACGTATGGGTTTGTGCGTCTTGTACATGTGTAGTAACAACATTATATGGCCAAAGCACCACTTAATAAAAAAACACAGTTAATGGATACATTTCGATTATCTGTCCAGGTGATACCATGGCAAACAGTTAAAAATCCTAAATAATAGAGGTTTTTTTAGGTTCGACCGAGGGAATATATAAATGTGTCGTTAAACGCGTCACCACCCGACACAGCCAATTAGTAAGGTTGGTCGCGTTAAGATAACAAGTATGGTGACCTGTATGCCTATAGAAGTCGCCATACTTCAATAGGGATTACCGTTTGTACGGCTATTTTAGTACACTCAATCGACAGGGTGTACAAGAACAATGAGCTTGCATAATGTGCATGCATAATGTGTGCCAATTACCATACAAATAACCCAACCGGCAATGGATATCCATTGTCATTTACATGTATTCATTAACCTCCCCCCCACATTGCTCAAGAAGTGCTGACAAGTGATGCTATCACATCTACCCCTCTATTTAAGGAACGAAACAGGGGGATTTTTCCATAAATCTGTCTGTCACCTGATGAAGCTCGTTGTAATCACTGTCAAAACGTCATACTCAGATTGTAAATGTTGTCGCTTTGCTTTCTAACACACTGCTGTGCTGTACTAGTAACGAATTGCCATGTTCTATTTACATGACAAACCTAATTGGCTGTAGCAGGATGGTGGCGGGTTTAACGATACATTTATATATTTACGCGATCAAACCCAAAAAACCTGGATTGTGGATATTGGTTGCGAAAGCCTACATATTAAACAGTTCAAATCCTAGTCAGATCCATCTTAAACTTAATCCTACTTTTCACAATTGAGCATGGTTGTGCTGTTAAGACACTGGCACCAGTCAGAAATACATTCCATCATTATCTCAAAAGCACCAATGGAGAGTGCCATGACATTGCTCTTAATTAGGGATTTTTTATTCTCTCTGCTCTGATGAAGGGCCACTGCCGAATATATATGCCAACTATATTTTTGTGTTTGGAGGGAAGCACGAGGCATTTTTCATCTGAATCTCAAACAGGCGCGTGTGCACATTTAACTGCATGCAATGGCATTGCAGCCAGCATAGTAGCAACCTGCTTGAGCTGAGACATCAGGGCATCTGTGCTCGTGTATGGCTTCCACTTCTCCTCCTCCTCCTTTTTGCGCTTCTTGCGTGTCGCCCCCTTGCCCACACCCTTGGGCACCTTCCGCATGCGCTGCTCTGGGCAGGAGGGGTCAGGCTCCGTGTCTACATCCTCTCTGCCATCCCTCCTCCACTCTGCATTGCCTTTCACTTCCCTCTTCCTCTCCATGCCTTCATGGGCGCAGCCCATTTGCGGAGGGTAGTTGGCAGACCCAACTGGCTGGGAGCTCGCCACCGATGGCTCCAGTTTCCCAGGCTGCAGGACAAAGAAGGGCAAGCATTGCTTGGTGTCAGGTTTCAAGGGAAGTGAGCAGCAGCAACAAGCACTTCATGCAGAGCCAAGGCCATGCCAACACTCACAATGGTCAAAAGGATGGGAAGCATTTATATCTAGTGCCACGATCAATAATAATTTTCCTATGACATTACATGCATTATTAATGCGTTTTAATGATTTTGCTTTTAAATTTTGATTTAAAGCTTTCGTGACTGCAGGGATTCATATTCTTGGTTCTTTCGGTAAAGTCACGTAGAAGGGAAACAATAAAATAATACAAAGTGAGAATTTTATTGTAATATGATTTTGCTTTTATTTAAAAACAAATGTTTTGAAAGCAACATGGTTTTAAATTTCTATTTGAATAGAACCTTCGATAAACGTTTCCTATTTTAGTAATATGAGCTTATACTATCTGTGCAAGCAGCAACCTGTGATTTATTTCTTTCAAGTTATTTTAATCGTAAAATTCTAAGGCATTCATGGAAACACAGTATTTTACCATAAACCTTGCTTCCAAAGCTCTGGGTTATACAAGTGTGCTTGAATGCCCAGTGTAAATACAATGCAATGTGACATTTTATGCAAATTAACTAATATCAAAGCACTCACAATCATGCTGTCAGGTTTGTGATCGACATCCAGTTTCCTGGGCTGCACGTGGTGCCTGGCAGGGGGCATTCCGACAGCCATAGATGGCTTGCCTTCCTCCTTCCTGTCCACAGGCAACTGCTGAGGTAGCAGACCTCCTCCTTCTGACGCTGCAGGAACCTCTCCAGCCATGGGCAGCTGGTACTGAGCGTGTACATTCTGCAGCCTCACGTGCCGTGCCTGCAGCAGCTTCTTGAGCAATTCGTTGCCAGATTCGGACTTTGTCTCTACCATGGACGAATCGACAGTGGACATGGAGCGGATCGGGCTATGGGGAGGAGCAAGTGGCCCTGAGACCATGTGTCCGGAGTCTGCCAGGTTGTGATGTGGCCCACCCCCCAGGTGATGCGCTCTCACTGCTCCGAACTGTGTGAGGGACATGCCAGTAGCTCCCGTCATCATGCCCATGGGCCTCTGTGCTCCGCCACAACTTCCCAATTCCATTTGTTCAGGCTTCAGTTGCAGATGATGCATGCCGTCTTGAGCACTGAATGGCTCATGAACCATGCGGGTAATTCCAGCAGGCATGGGCCTCCCTAATGAATGACTGTAATGACTACCTGGGGAATGCGGCACCATTTGATGAGGCCCAATCCCTGACGAGCCTGGTGACTGGAGTACCATAGGAGTCCCAGGATGTGGCCCATGACCTAATTCATTTGCAAAAGGTGTGCTGGGGGTTGTGGGCGTGCTTGGGATGCTTGGGTTGCTGCCCGGAGTACCTGGTGACATGGGAGTGGAGGATGCATCATCCTCTTTTTTCTTTTTCCGCATCCTCTTCTTCTTTCCCTTCTCCTCGGGGATAATGTTGGAGTAGAGCTGGATGAGTGACGTGCTGGCTCCAGGGTAATTTGGAGGTAGAGGCATTGTGCCGACCTCCTGTCCAAGCTGAGGCTGATTCAACCCTGGCTGCCTTGGAGGCTGGCCAGGAAATGCCATCCCAGGGTTGAAGGGCAGCCTCTGGTGGGGACCACGGGGCCCAGAGGGTCCAACATGCTGCTGGAACATTGCTCCATTACCAGGAAACCCTGGGCGATATGGATATATACCACCTTGTCCAGGGTGGACCATCTCAGGGCCCTGGGGGAAATTAACGGACCCAGAATGCGTGGGGCTCACAAATCCTGGAGGTTGTGCAAGGACTGGGGATTGTGGTACTGGAGGTTGCTGTAGCCTGCTTTCTTGATCAAGTGTCTCTGGGCCAAAACATTTTGCCATCTGTGACTGGTTTCCATCAACAGAAGTATTACCATGAACAGGCCTTACTCCCATCATCAAATGTTGTTGTTGTCTTGACATCTGGCCATGAGCAAGGTGTCCAGGTCCCATAAAGCGTTGCTGGTGCTGCTGTTGTTGTGCCCTCTCTAAATGGATAGTCGGTTGGTTACTCTGCACTTGAATTGCACTCAACATTGCTTGATGCCTTAAGGGTCCATCTGTTACTTCACTTTGAGCACTTGACACAATATTTGGCTGTTTCTGAAACTCAACCTCATAATTCTGCATGGCCCGATGACGTTCAACCTCCTGCATAAGTTGAATGCGTTGCTGCTCCTGTTGTAACCTCAGCCTCTCCCTCCGTTCACGGTCCTGGAAAGTGTCACTAAATGGATTATTGTCAAAATTTGTTCCACTTGCACTTCGACTTTCCTCGCTGGCAGATGCTTCAGTCTTCATATTTTCAGTTCCTGATACCATCATGCCAATGGGCTTTGATTCATCAGCCTGCTCTTGATTTGTTGATCCTAGGTTTGTGGCACCATCGCTTGACACTCGGCTAGGCGAGTCTGCCATATGACCTCCAGTGCCAGGTGTGTGAACAGGGTCTGGTGTTACGTGCCCATCATTTTTGCCTTGGCCTGACGGTACAGCCTGGACACCAGGGTGCGATTGCAGAAACATATTTCTTGATTGTGAGGAGCCTGAAAAACCCTGCTGCTTATTACTTGGTGCAGGATTTATCGCTTGTGTCGAAGTCGGTATTACATTTGGTAAGGAATTGCTTTTTTCACCTTTCTGACAATCGGCCACATCTGTGTATGGTGGTTTAGACAAGACTTCTGACACCGGGCTCTGCTTTCCTGCTGCACATGCCTTGTTTTCTGTCATTGATTGGCCTCCATTGTCTTTATTAATTTCTAGATTAGCTCTGGGTACACAACTTTCAGAAATTGTACTACTAGATGCTTGGGCATTTGCTTGTAGCTGGCTGGTTTTAAAATGCACGTTTTGTTGTGTTCCAGCAGCACCAGGTTGATGAACAGATGTATTGGTGTTGCCGTATTGCTGAAGTTCGTATTCAGCTCTGGGTGAGGTTCCCAACTTCTTGAGGTCTCTATCTGCCTGGTTAGTGTCAGAAACGTTTGGTGCAACTGTGGTCACTGTTGACTGAAACCCTAGCCCTACATTTTCTGGTGTCTTTGATCCAGGTCGAGGCGAGTGACCAGATATAATTGGTGATGAGCGAGAGCTAAATCCTGGTCGAACACTCTGTGAATATCCTTGACCAAAAGTTCCACCCGCACTCGGTTTAATGCCAGTTGCATTTACTGTTTGGATATTTTGACCCAAAGATTTTATGTTTATTTGCTTCTCTTGGTGAGAATGCCCCATGAAAGGCTGTTCAGAAATCCCAATGTTTTGTTGAAGTTCAGAGCCAGCAGTTTCTGATGGGACATTCTTTAATCTCCCAATGCCACTCATAGCTTGTTGATGTTCTTGGACGAAATTCAATTGCTGTCGGGCATCCACAGACCCAGCACTTGTTTGCTGTCCAGGTCCCATTGACCCAACACCTCCCTGATGAATGGGGCTATGCTCCTGCTTTAGTGCAAACTCCATTGCACTGTGATGTTCAGCTCCACTTGGTAATGCTGGCTCCATACCTCCTACACTTGTATGCTGCCTCTGCCCTGTCACTTGTTGATTTCCCATTGCCCCCATTGACTGAAAATGAACGGACGATGGATTTTGTCCCATTTCATTATGCTGTGACCCAGGCCCCATTCCTTGCTGTGGACCAGGCCCCATTTGTCTCATTGTGTGCTGCTGGCCAGGTCCTATTTGGCCCATTGCACCAATGGGTTGTTGTGCAGGGCCCATGAGCCTCATTCCTTGCTGCTGCCCTGGACCAAACTGTCCACTCCCCTGCTGTGAAACACCCATCATCTGGTTCATTCCTAAGTGTTGGCCAGGGCCCATCTGACCCATGGGCCTCATGCCTTGCTGTTGTCCAGATATTAGCTGCCTCATTCCTTGCTGTTGCCCTGGTCCCATGTGCCTCATGCCTTGCTGTTGCCCAGGTCCCATCTGCCCCATGCCTTGCTGCTGGCCAGGCCCCATCTGTACCATTGAACCTAAGCCTTGCTGTTGCCCAGGACCCATCATTCTAATTACTTGCTGTTGACCAGGAACCATTTGCCCCATTGGTGGCATTCCCTGCTGTGGACCGGGTCCCAACAGCCTCATACTTTGCTGCTGCCCAGGACCCATCTGACCCTGTGACCCCATTCCTTGCTGTTGCCCTGGTCCTATCAATCTCATTCCTTGCTGTTGGTCAGGACCCATCTGCCCCAACAGCATCATGCTCAGCTGTTGCCCCGGCCCCATCGGTCCAAGTGACATCATGGCTTGCTGTTGTCCTGGCATCATTTGCCTCATGCCTTGCTGATGACCAGGGCCCATGTGCCTCAGGCTCTGTTGAAGACCAGGTGGCATGTGCCTCATGCCTTGTTGGTATCCAAGTCCCATAGGTCCCATGCCTTGTTGAAGACCAGCAGCCATGCCAGCCATGCCTTGTTGTGAACCAGGGCCCATGGGGCTCATTCCTTGCTGGTGAATTGAGCCCATGGGCCTCATATTTGCCTGCTGCCCAGGCATCATCGGTCTCATTCCAGGCTGTTGACCAGGACCAAGAGGTCCCATTCCGGCTTGCTGCCCAGGTCCCATCGGCATCATGTTAGGGGGACCCTGCAGAGCTCCACTCATCCCAGCACTAGAAGCACCTGACGCATGTGCCTGCTGGTGCTTTGTGCGGAACTCCTCAATGAGCTCTGCATGCTCCTTCTGCTGCTTACGAAGCTGCAAACCACAAAGGAGAAACAAATGAGCACACAATGACAACAGTAAGAGGTAGCACACATTCACAACAAGCTATTCGTCGTTCTAGAAGCAGAAAAACATGAGTATATCTTTCTAATCAAATTACCACAAGCAATATGAACACTATTAGGTGAAATAGTCAGCTTTAATCTCAGAACCTAAGACTTTGGCCTTATCTTTAACATTACCAATTAGTTACCCTCGTAAAACACAATTAAGCATCAGATGCAAAATGTATAGCCCTAGACACATACAAAAAATGCTCCTAAAAAAAGCAACATTTCATGATTGGTTTTGAACTCATCATGAATATTCATAATCTTTGGGTCTTTCGGTAAAGTCACGTAGATAGGTTCAAAGAAAATAACAAACTACGACGTTTCGATCGCAACATAGGCGGTCGTCTTCAGGAAAAGGGGGGTTTAGCTTCCAAAGGCAAACTATTTATAAAGGTTTGAAATGGGCGTAGCCCAAATGTCAGCAGCCAATGTGAATGCAAGTGGTGTGGCAGCCAACCCGACGGTGGTTGGTTTTTCACCAAAGGGCTGCCAGGTGAAAATTAGCATATTAATGAGACACCCCTCGGTTGCGGCTCTGCAATTTGCCATTAACATGATAATCTCTCATTAATGTGAAGATCACATTGATTGAAGATCACACTGATTATATTGGTAAAAAGACCAAAAAATGTTTTTCTGTATCGACACAAGCACTGCTTACCCCCTATGTTCCGTTTGGAATTGATAAAAGCTACCATACTGCCTCTACTTGACTACTGTGACATCGTGTATAAATCAGCCCCAAGTACTGTACTGAAGAAGCTTGATTCCATCTATCACTCGGCCTTTTACATTGAACTGCCCATATAGGACTCACCACTGTGATCTCTACATTAGGTCAAACTTAACATCTCTTAATGTTCGACGGCTTGTGCACCAGATCTTATTTATTCACGATGCACTAACAAAAGAATCCGCAGACTACCTGCTGGATCTCCTCTCTGTTTCAAAGAACAAATTTGATCTAAGGTCTTCGCTCATTTACCAGGTTCACATTCCTTATTGCCGTACAAATACTGGAGGAAGGGCCTTTGCTACTGATGCCCCAAGGTCTGGAATGCTATTGCCAATAAACTGCAACTTGAATCACAACCTATGAGATCTTCACTCAAAACTGCTCTCGAGGAGTTGTACACCCCTAGCTGCCACTGCTATTCAGTGGCCTAAAATAAAATAAAATGTTTCGCTCCGGATGACCACTGCAAAGTATTATCTGTATTTTGATTTAGTGTGCTGATCTTAAAGGTGCATTGAAATATTTGATACTCCGACTGATGCTCCTGTTGTTGTGGAGTGACTCATGCAGCCAGTTATGGCTGCAAGGTTTGGTGGTATATGTTGTTTATTGTGAAAATTCGGTCACAGTTCCTATGATCACTGTTACATTGCTTTTATGGCTTTATTTTAGTGATTTCGAAAAGTTTTTTGGTTTGGCGATGTTTGTTTGTTGTAGTACAGAGTTAGACTGATGGCCTTAATCTAAGTTGTCTTGTGGTTGTTTTTGTTTGACTTGCATCCCACTGGGATTTTTGCACACAGCGTTGGTGTACGGTGCTTTTCCTGGAATATTTTGCTGTTTTTTCCTGGATTTTCTGTTTGCACAGTCACATAGTCACTTGAAGATGTTTTCTTGTTCATGTTTTTGTTTTTTGCATATTGCGGTTGCACTCGATTCAAGATCCAAATGGCTCACAGGGCTATACCAAATAAATGAAACTGAAACGTGACTTTACCGAAAGACCCAAAGAATATTAATTCCTGCAGTCACGAAAGCTTTAAGTCAAGATTCATCGTGAATAATAATAAAATAACATTTGGCTTTCATGTTCCACTCACCTGTTCCAACTGTTTTTGCACCATACTTTGCTGCTCAGTGACATTTTTCAACTGCTCTGCATCTTTTTCTGCCAATTCACGCCCAGCTTTCTTGGCCGTACGCTGTTTTGCAGACAGAGCCTTCTTTGACTTTCTGTGTGCGCCAATCTGATCTTCAAGAAACTTCTGCTGCATCTGAAGGAGGGCTTGGGTGTGCAGAAGCCACTCCCTATACTGACCAACGTCTGCATCGGCTAGATCAAGATAGAAAAACAGTCAATAATACATTATAAGGTCGCACACATTACACACAAAAGACTTACTACAAATGAACCTTGCTGATCTCGTCTAGGAGCCTAAACCATCACACAAAACCGGTTACCCTTGCAGCAGCTTTTGGCTAACCATTGAACAAAGATGGTCACTGCATCACGTGCTTTCAAATGTGCTTCTGCAGCCACCTGGAATGCTCTTATTTCCGATATTAGGAAGCCACTTGAGTTGTGGTCTTAAACCTAGATTGAAAAAACATTTCTTTAGAATACATTTTTGTGTTTAGTTTGTTGTCCTTCCCCCACACCTCCAATTAGCTCAGATGGCTACATACTGTGCGAAAGTTCAACATATATACACAATCGATTAGGAGTAAACCATGACATGTATGAAACATTCAAAAACATAACAATAATCAATGTCCATAGCCACTACTATACTTACTCATAACAGCTCCAAATGTTGGTGGATTTGGTCGAGCCATCTGCATCATACTCGACCCACCAACCTCCTGATAAAAAAATGCATCGCAAATGTTAAATTTTATGTAAACAATAAACACATAATTTGTGACTATTATCTGGCCGAGTGGTGTCATCCAAGAGTAAAAGGGTTCATTTGAATGGTTACGAATTCAAGGGCGACTGCAGCTTAACATTATTATGGAGTTAATAAAATGGGTACCAACTTATTAGAAATCAACAGTGTTTATCATATAGATCATACGCATGCTCCAGTTGCATCTGGCTCGATGGTCCTCATTAGAACAAACCTCCCCCCCCAACAACTGCTTGATCAAGAGATCACCTGATCTTTAGGATGAAAACTTGAGATACCTTTCAGATATTCTAACACTTACCCCATTACATCCTATCTATTGTGTATATTATCTATGATTTATGTGACAGTATCAAAAGGTACAAATTACATTCTTGTTTAATGGTGTTTATATCTCAGCTAGCAGTGTACAATTAACTTTGAGAGCTATATATGTGCCTAGAAATGGTGACTGAGAAGATTAAAAGTATGTTCGTTAAAGTTAATTGTTCTCATTTTAGCCTTTTTTATTTAAATATATATGTCACTGTATGTGTGTATGTTTCCCTTTGGTGTTGCATTTCTAAAGGCCTCGTGTGCACCGCTTTATTTTGTATTCTGTTATTATTTTGCCAGCCAAATATCATTTTAGGTCTGTGAATTCAAAGCAGGTAAAATGTCAAAATCTGCATGTAAATTGGAACTTGAACATCTCCCAGATGGGATTCTAATAGCAATGAGGCAAATACCACCAGCCACGTGACCAGCTAGCTCGAGTGCCTTGAAAAACACCTCTTCCATATACGGCAAGACTGCCTACAGCCCAAGGGCACTTACACCCCATGAATAACATTCATGCATATATATTCGTTTTAAGCTGGTGTGGATATTCAGTCAAAGCCAATAAACTAGTAAATGAGGAAGGCATGAGAGGCATACGTACTATTTGCTGTCCACTTGAAGGTGGAGGGTCACTGCTTCCCATTATCTGTTGTGTCATTACAGGAATGCGCGGCCTTGAACAAAACAGAATCATAATTTAGTGACACTTCTCATTGATTCTCCAACATACAGATAATTCAAGATGTGATCACAGTTTATGAAAAGACAAACGATACCTGGCAATGGATGGGACTACCATGGCCCCCTGTGTCATGACTTTGTTAATGCCCTTCAGAGCCACCATCTTGGCTTTGGCTATTGGATCAGTGATGTCATCTGGAGTGAATTTATCGAGGTCTGCACAAAAAAAGAATACAAATTACTTGCAAAATGCCATCCTTAACATTATGGCCACTCAAGACACCACAGAAAATATACACGTGGATATTATTGCATACACATGTCGATATTCATGTTAAAAAGAGCACTCAATCCGAGCAACATTTGGCCTTATTGTACGTAAAAAAAAAACTTACCAATGTTGGGAAACATGGATCCTGTGATGGACTGCTGACGCTGCTGTTGTTGCTGCAGCATGGCTTGCATTTGCTGACGTTGCTGTTCCTTTTTCTCCTGCTCTACGAGATCCTGCAGGAGAAGAGGCTGCTCATCCAGCAGCAGAGACTTCTCTTTTTGTAAAGACATCTGAGAAGGTGGTGGCAGCGAGTGGGATGGCGTGAAAGGGCCTTGGTGTCCTGGGGGCATTGCAGGAGGCATTCCTGATGAATGAGATGGATTAAAATTGGCCTGTGGAATCATGCCTGGGTTTACACCTGGCTGCTGCAAATTGATCTGTTTTTGGCTGGAAGGGGAACCCACAGTGAAGTGTGGGGATCCCACTGTCGGATGAGGCGAGTTCATGGCCAAGCGCTGCTGACCAGGGGCAGGTGAACCCACAGTTGCAAGGTGTGCACCTGCAGGAGAGCCAACCGCCATGCTTGCAGGAGACCCCATAGTCATGTGGTGACCGTGTACGGGAGACCCTAGCGGCAGGTGCTGTCCATGTGCAGGAGATCCCATTGGCAGATGCTGATTGGAAACTGGCGAGCCGCCAGTCATGTGCTGCCCTGGAGCAGGTGACCCCATGGTAATATGCTGTCCAGGTGCTGGGGAACCCATGGGCAAGTGTTGCCCAGATGCTGGAGACCCAGAAGGTAGATGCTGGCCTGGGACTGGAGATCCCATAGTTTTTTGTTGTCCATGGGCCGGTGAGCCCAGAGCCACACTCACAGGAGATCCCACAGGAATCTGATGACTGTTGGAGGTGCAGCTCATAGGAGTAATGTTCATGTGTTGGTAAGGCTTGGAACTCAACGTCATATGGTGCACGTTCGCTGGAGAGCCAACAGGGATTTGTGATGATCCCATGTCGTGTTGATTGTTCACTGGCTGCCTGATTCCTACACAGCTGGATGTTGGACTTGGGTTAAGTGGCTTAGAGACTGTTGATATCTGGTTTGATTTATTTACGATATGCACCTTGTCAAGTTCAGATATTTGTTGTGGGGGTGTATTATAGTGAGTGCTTCCTTGAGATTGTCTATAAACAATAGTTGAGATGTTTGTTTGATCTAGTGCTGCTGATACAACTGGCGTAGCTGTGTTTTCAGGACTATTATTTCCACAAGACGATTCCTGTTTCGTGATCACGGTTTCATCTTGCTTATTTTTGGAGAGCACATTTACCGATTTTGCAGTTTGCTCAAGTGGATCAGAAGATGAAACAGCTGAAACTGTACTTTGTGTCTCATTTTTATTGGTGCATGAAGTCACAACAGAGGAATCAGACTCTTTGCTATTCAACTTTGGGTCACTCTCCTTGCAATCATCTTTACAAGTTGGAACAACTTCTTCTTTTACCACAGAAGATACTGAATCTGGCAACAGTGATGACGAACTGCAGGCTTTCTCAACCAACTCCACACATTCTTTGTCATCTAGACTCATCGCCCCATTCCCAGAGTCACCACCCTTTTCCTCAACTGGGTCTCCAAGTCCAAGTTGTTCGTTAAACATGTCTCTCTTGTCGGTCATTCCAAGCTCAGGGTCTGTGTAGGCAAGCAGATCAAACTCTCCACCCTTCATCAACAGATCATCCAGATGAGTATCTAGATCACTCTCACCACCCTTTCCATCAATGGGATCGAGAGTTAAATTTTCAAGGTCATCATCTTCATCACCCAGTGCCTTCACAGCTGCCAGGTCATCCAGCTCTTTGTCTCCGAGGTCTCCAGGCTTCACGTCAGAAGTATGCTGTTCAACTACACTCTCTGAGGTAGGAGCAGCTTCCGGCTGTTGAGTTGTAGGTGCCACACCTTTTTCGGGAGCAGTCTTAGTCAATATTTCTTGTTGGGTGCACTCATCAGTTTGCTGTGGCTCTGTGCTTTGAGGCTGAACCATAGATGCATTTTGACTTTGTTGCGCTGACATGATGTTAGCTGACTGCTGTCGCATCAGAGGAACAGACTGTTGCTGCTGCTGTGGCATCGTGGGATTGGATGGATGCTGTTCTGGTAGAAGGGGGTTTTGTTGTTGAAGCCTTTGATTGAAAGTCTGCTGTTGCTGCTGCTGAATTAAGTTTTGTGCCTGCTGTGGGGTAAAATGACGTTGCTGCATCATTTGAACTATCTGCTGTGGCATAGTAGAGGTGGGTTGCTGTTGCGATCCATGATGCAGTGGCAAAGCTGGATTGGATAGCTCTGCACCTACAGTTAGGCCTTGACTGGCAGAAACCGTCGGCTCACTCAAGGGTATGTGCGGATTCATTGGCGGCCTATATGCATGCGCATATTGTGCGCCTTGAGGGCGACTCTGCATCTGCTGTCGAGAGTCAATCATTGCACGATGCTGCTGTGGTATTCCACTGAAAGGTGGACGAATGCGATATATGGGAGCATTGTGTCGCAGCTCAATGAACTGTGGGCTGTTGGGTGGATGGCCATGTGGTGGAATGGTGTGTACTTGGAATTGCTGGGGGAATGAGCCTGGACTGTTATACTGAGGACTGGACGCAGCTCGCATGTGCGGAGGCTGACCAGGATAGTTTTCAGGAACATGCATTCGTTGGTGCAATTGAAACCTGTGGAGCAAATGCAACATTAATAAAGCATATGCTATGCGATGAAGCTTGCACAGATCAAAAGTGATAGCTATAAACAATTACTCATTAAAACATTCCAAAGGAACCACGTATAATCATCAACAAATGCGACACATACCTAGGACCTGCATTTCTGAACTCCAGACCCTGAAATTCACCAGGAACCTGTGGTCTGCAGTGAACTTCGGAAAGAGAACTCGGTGGTGTTCCAGATAGTCCTGGCGATTGAAATCTTCCGACCTCCAACTCAGAAAAATTCCTCTGACCTCCAAAAGGCTGTAGAAGAAAAATACATCAAAAATTAAATGAAAAAGTAATACATTCAAATACAAAAACCAAAATCATTTAAAATATCCAGTATTTCACTCATGAACATATATAAAACATCAAACTAAAGACTGATTTAGTTTCAAATAAGGGTTCCGCTTTGGAATTGATGTGTAGGGCCCTTGTGTTAATCCATTGCTGGATGAAGGCCTCATCATGCCATACTAGTCAATTGACCGTACTTTCCCACACTTGTCAATGCGCGTTGAAAGTGGGCATCAGACACAGGAACATAAGGAGTACAGCACAACTGATTTTGCTAAACAATCCTTGGGCTATGCGTTGTAAGCAAAATCTGCGAGTCAAATCATCAGGTTAATTTTGCACATGGGAGGAAACTAGAGGGCTGAAACACCACGCAATTTAAAATAAAAAGCAATGGAAACAGCTTGATGCACTGCTTTATGTCGTAGGTACATTAAGAAGTATCTCATGCACATGACCTTAACACGATCCATCAACTCCGCCTCTAAGTTTATGGATTACATGCATACGCCACCACATCAGGCATTATAAGATGGGAATGCTTTAGAGAATATGCGAATGGCATTGACGGCAAAAATGTGCAACGCCCACCGTTTGTGATGGGTACGGTGGTGGAGGTTTGTTGTGTGGTGGCTCATGCTGATGAGCCCCATCATCCTGAGGCCAGTGTCTCAGAGGAATACTCCCTCCCTCCACCACCATCTGCTCCTGTAATGCCTTCTCCTGATGTAGAGCCTTCCTCTGCTGCTGCTGGCGAATCAGCAACTCGCGAAGTTTCTGTCTCTGAAAGTGTAATGCAAGCATCATGTTTATGCTCCGAAACAAAGAAATGCAACTTCCTTACGACAAACAGTATGCTGTATTATTAACAAAGAAAATACCGAAACATAATGTAAAGATGCCGAAAGGGCCAACATATAATTTTTTGCTTTTATATCAACTTCACAAATTAAATTGAAATTACAAAGAAGTCAGCCAGTCAGCAAAAAAAAAGTGCCATTTATAAATAATAGTGAAATATTTTCTACTTACACACATGGATTTATGTTATGAGATTACGAATTTTCCTTCCACAATTCTCAGAATAAACAGAGAATTAAATCACGAGAGAACTGCCCTGGAATGATCACAAAACTACTTTCTGGAGTCATTTAAATTTGGCCTCTCGCCAAACACTGCAGAACCCACTATGCTCTGAAAACATGTTTTTTTTAAATCTTTGATAATCTTGAGCACTTTAATTCTTAGTGAGTGCCCAGAATTAAATATTAGTTTACAGATAAACTAAACTATTTTATTTACCAAATAATGCCCACCAAGATATTAGCTATTTTTCAGAAGCAACCTGGCACATCTAAGTCACTTATATCATCTGGGAATTTTTCGTAGCAAAATTATCTGAACCTATGTTTCTACATGTGGAGGGGAAAATCGGAGGACAAGTAAAAATATACAAGCGACCACCATGGGGAGTACATGCAAACTGTAAATATACAGGTGCCAAATTTGGATCCAAACCCACAACCTCCTGCATACCAGGTGAGGAAGATAGCATCTTGCTACTGTGGCAATATATACCTATGCTGTATGTCCTGGGTCATCCGATGCAAGTTTGAAGAGGATCAAAAATTAAGAATTGAGCCACAGTTGGTCACAGGGGGAGCCAACACCGTGCACTCTAGTGACATATATATTTGTGGTGCAACTGCTGCACACTAAAACGCATCCATCTCACGACGGGCAGTGGATCGTGGAAGTACTACATCTATGTTACGAGAAGTAATGCATGATTGGGGCTGGCTATGTTAATTCAATATAACTGGGTTTATGCTAGAAAATGCAAATGTGCAAAAGGCTCAGTCTGAGAGGCACTTATATGAGAGACAGAGGTGAATCAGCAGTTTTAAAGTCATGGGAGATTTAAACCACCACATTGCTATGAAGAGATGTTGCTTTAGCTTGAAATATCAATTCGATTGTGGCATCTTCCTTTAAATAATAATTTATTTCAAAGTCAGAAGTTAAATTCCCATACCTGCTTCTGCTTTTCCAGTTCAGCATCATGCGGTGCTGCCCCCATGCTCTGCTGCTCTGTTGAAGCTGCGCCTCCTGGGGACTCCTTGAGCTGCAACACCGCGGGGGGCTGAGGTCCAAACTGTGACGTTGGAATGCTGGGCACAGCGTGTGAGGAGCCCAGACCTTGGGGTTGCATCGGCGCGCTCAATGCCTGGTGATCGCCCATACCACCGCTCCCCAAAGGCTTAGGTTGTCCTATGGATTCTGCTGACATCTGCCTTGGGGCTAAAGAAGCCTGGCCAAAGGTTTCACCCTGGGGGGTGGCTGACCCTGATGTCTGGGGAGACTGGCATCCTATATTCTGTTGTCCTGCACTCACGGCAGGCTGAAGGTTGGGATCCTTGTGATGAGGCATCTCTGGCCCAGGTTTTGATGCAGGGCTGGGAAAACGAGCCATGACCATCATTCGAGGCCCTTGCAAAGGCTGCATACACTGCATGGGTGCAAGGTTTGATGCTTGTGAAGGCTGAGGAGAGCTCATTGATTGGTCAATTGAAGGATGCCTGGGGCTACACGGAGGAATATTGTAGCCACTGTAAACAGGAGGATTTGTTGAGTTTTGACGCTGGGAATACTGAGCAGCAGAAGACACCTGTGGTGTGGATGACGATTGTAAATATGGGTCAATTTGCACTGGACGAGTTGTTGCTGGCTGGTGGGAATAAGGGTCATTGGGTGAAGACAATGTTGGCTGCTGTGACTCCCCTGACGTCTGTCCTGGAGGAAGCCTTTGCTGAGGATATAGCTCGCCATGAGAACTTCTATATGTAGACTGGTGGTGAGAATAGGGTGTTGACTGAGACACTTGCTGTGGATGAGCAAATGACTCAATGTTTGGAGGTCTTGGTGTTAGCGGAGGCTGGGAATAAGGATCAATCATCATGGGTCTAGGTGTGTGTGGCTGTTGAGCATATGGATCACCAGCCATTTGTCTTGTTGGTGATGGAGGCATCTGCATGCTTTGCTCAACAGTGCGTTGGGGCATGGAGGGTCTGTCGTGGGAACCTGCTCTAGGTGAGCTCGGAGTAGATGGACCCATGTGAGGTGGCAGAGGGGCTTTAAACACTTGGTTTGCTTCATGGTTAGATGGGCCAATGGCAGATGGCGAGACTCCTTGACCAGGCAGAATTTTCATTTGTAAGGAGTTTGGTCTTGGTGTTAGTGGTTGTCTAGCATATGGGTCAGCAGCAGTGTTTACAGTTGGCTTTGCATACACGTCTGAAGAAGAGTGAGGTCTTGGCGTTCCAGGCATTCTTCCATATGCATTATCACTGCCTGGCCAAGGCCGAGAAGGAACAGGTACTCGGTTGTATGGGTCATCTCCGGCATGCATAGGCCGTGGTGTTCCAGGCATTCTGCTGTATGGATCATCAGTGGCATGCATGGGTCGTGGTGTGCCAGGCATTCTGCTGTAAGGATCATCTGCAGAAACGTGCCTTTGCCTCATAACTCCTATATTCCCAGAGGAGCATGGTTCCATGCTGGTTGAACCAGGAGGCCTTGGTCTTAAAAATGGATCTGGTGAATTTGGACAAAGCTCAGCCGGCATGTCACCGTGAGATGACGGCCTTGGGGTGCCTGGCATTTTAGAGTACGTATCAAAGGGAGAATTTGGTCTGGAGTTCACTGGTGACTGAGCAGGTGACTGAGAGCCTTGAGAAGAAAGCCTGGAAGGCCCTGGAGCCTGTGGTTTCACAAATACATCACCTTGACTGAATGACGTGGGGGTTCCAGGAGTTTGAGGTCTCACAAACATGTTTGAAGATGGGGACATGTGCTTCAACTGTGGTGTTACTCTCCCATCAGCAGATGTTTCTGATAAAGAAGTTGCCAGTCCCAGCATTCCATTCTTTTCTGCTGCAGGTATTCTTTCCTGATGCTGACCTTCTGTTACTGATCCTGCCTGGCCACTTGACGTTTGTGTTTCGAGCTGATATTTGGTCTGGTCTCCAATTTGTCGTCCTGCACCAGCATGCCCTTCCAACATCCCATCAGGAAGCACTTTTCCCCGACTTCCACTGTTGGCAGTGATCACCTGTGGCTCCACTTTTCCTCCTGCAGAGGAATGTTCATCTCCACGCATTTGACTTCCAATCGATTGTTGCTGTGAGCCTTCCTGCCCTCCATGCGGGGGCGATGACATATTGATTTCCAATTTTCCCCCTCGGGCCGGGCTGGTCTCCTGGCTGTCCGTCTGGCCTCCCTGTGGCTGACGTTGCTGCAGAAGCTGTTCCTGCTTTGCCATTTCCAGGCGCTGTGTCGCTTCCAACTTTGCTTGCTGTTTGCTTTGCAAACGTAGTTGCTGCCATGCAGAAAAAAATAGTAACAACTCGCATTTACTTCGCTGCTTGACTAGCCTTTTTGGCCGACATTTAAAATGTGAAAACTACACAACTACAACTCGGGAATTACGTGTAAAACCAAGTGCTGAAAATATTTTACCACTTATTGAAAAATGGCTGTTGCAAAAAATGTTAACTTATGCACTTTTCAGTTATAAGGCAGTGTTTGTTTATGGTGATGGCAGTAAATAATTTTCAGCCTGTGCTAAAAAAAATAGAAAGTAGCATATATTAAACTGAAATTAATGAAATGATTTGCATATTTATACGAGTTGCAAAATAACCACACAACAAGTTCAGACATTACACCAAAAACACAAATCAATGAACACATTCAAAGTTGCATTTAAACAGTCATTTCATATCCGTGGCAGAGCAACAGGTACTCAAAGATCGCACAATTTTACAGCAAAATGGAGGAAGATGAGAGCAACTATAGATCAGTGAAAGATGTCTGTAACAGCTTTAAATACAAATTAAACCAAATATTCTTGCAGGGATGCAGGCACAGCATAAGAAGCATTTACACTGGTAACTCATGCAAAGGAAGCCTATTGCTTTACACCAGTCATTCTAGGGTGGCAGATATTTGAGAAATTTTGGGATTTTGGGAACAACTAATTTACTAAATGTGACCAAAGCTTAATAGCTACATTATTTTTTACAAAGTACATAAAAAAACCAATCACCAATAAAGAAAAGGTGTAAACAGAAGCACGGCCACTTCTGTTATGCTCGTGTTAAATGTGGCCCATGCAAATGTAAAGACATTTCTTTTAACCACGTCAAACGCACTGGGCTGCAGAAGAAGTGGTTAAGTGTGCTCAGTGTCCATGCGGGCTCATGCAGTCTCATGCAGACACGGGGTGGGGGGAGGAGTGAGAAATCCTACAGCTTCAGAGTGGCACGCCTCAGCCTGCATCCCTGCACCGGTGCTGGGGAGAATCTCTCCCCAATTGGCAAGCGGTTATGATTTTTGTTTTGTTTTTCTTTTATAATTTTTTGAAATCTCCTCTCACTGCTATGGTTACTGACCTGCCTCTGCCTCCAATCCTGCTCCTGCTCTACCTCTCTGAGCCGCTGCTGCTCCTTGGCGTGCTGCTCGGACTGTGCCCCCCCAACGGGCTCCGCAAGCTCCAGGGGCTTCCGCAGCAGCGTCTCGCCTGCCCGCTGCGCCTTGCTGATCCGCACCGCGGCACGGTTGTCACGCGCTTTTTGCTGCCATTTTGGAAACGCCACAGCCACAAAAACATTCATTTTCACGAGACGCCACCTCGTTTCGCTTCGGCAAACAAATCTGAGACTGGGTGGGGGGGGTACTCTGTTGGGTCCCCATAACAAAACAACCCTCGGTTTTATTCAGGTAAATGCAGCTACGATTGTGACCTCCAGTAACCACAGTGGTGTCTTCACAGTCCTGATGTGCACCAGGAAAGCATAATTGGATGCGCAACTAGAACGCACAATGATACAAAATAAGGTAGCACAATCTAGGGTCCAGTCAGTCATATTACAGAATGATGAAGATAACCACGCAATTTAACATTGTACAATATGGTACGTAACAAGTAAAAAAATGCAATACTTGCAAAGAAATGTTTTCCTTCCAGAACGTATAACCTGATACATAATAATAATGCACAAATTGACGATACTAATAAATAAAACAATGCACAATATGAAACCAATAGGAATGTACAATGAAAATGTATAATCTACTGTCAGAATCAGGATATGTATTTATACTGGAGGAATCCGATGAGCTATAAAGATATTTTTTACAGATGTCCAGTTGGGGCGGGTAAGAATGTTACAACAACAAACAATACAACAACATGATAGGAGTGCAAAGTACAAGGCAAACAAATTACCCAAATACATACATGCACGACATACAATTGGAATTACAATTAATACGCACAATTTGTAAGACAATTACATTAGTCCAATGCACAAAAAGAATGTACAATATAATGTTCAATTAGAATGCAAAATATGGAATATAACAAAAAAAACCTTTTCATGCTCACCAAATATAAATGAGATAAACCTTATTTAAATACACAAACCTCGGTGTACGAATTATGGCCAAGTGGGCTGACTACATTATTCACAATTTAAGTGTGAAAATATAATAACATCTCTCACGATTGCAGTTATCTTTGGCACAGAATTAATGAATAGAAAAGGACTCTTCGCTGCTTAAATTAAGGACCCCTCTTAATAGTTTTGGTGTACGGGAGTATGAGAGGCATCATTGAATTCATTGCTTAAAAAGGTTGATCGAGCATTTTTACATATGACAAAATTACGGATAACCGGAACATGAATGATTGCATATATATACACACACTTGTGAAATTAAATGCTTTTCCTTTCTGGGGGTGACTATTTCCAAATGATGACCACCAACTTCAAGAACAAGTATATTCATAATAGGGTTTTTCCCCTTTTTTCTGGCAACAAAACTGAAACCTTTTTACAAGGAATATTCATACATAGCATCACTTGCGCTACCATACACTACTAATATTATGGTAATTCCAACAAGCATGCATGCTGCCTGATGGCATTAGTCTACCACAGCTGGATCTGTGTGACTGTCTACCCACCCGCAAATTCTGCTAATTTCCACATTGCAGACAGAGCCATGGGCTCCCTGCACAGCAAACACGGGTACATAAACATGGCAAAAATAACTTTAAAAAAAAGATCCATGTTGAGCTGAACAAGCAGGTAGAACTGAGAAGATTTAGTAGTCAATGTACGTGCACAGGTCTACTGTCAGTCCACTTCTGGATACACTTTACGCACCATATAGCTTTGCGGGGCTTATTTGATCATACTTCACCACTCTCGTTAGTGCAGGTTGGTGAAGTCCAAGAGCATAGACGTAGATGGATAGTATAATACAACACAGTACAATCCCCTATATCAAACCCCCAATTCTGTATTTTTAATCGTACTACATGTACATCAGAAGATGATACATCTCTCCAACGCACCACTGTTGACTTACCAAACAGTCGTACCGATTTTGTCAATGGCCATGCTGTATCAGAGCGCTGTTTTTGAGTTCCAATACCAGTTAGAGATAACTAAAACCTATTATAATTCCATTTCTGGCTGCTAAAATGTAGCCAGTAAAAAATGTTTGTCATACAATATACAGGGTGTTTCAAATAAATGGACCCAATTTCAAAGCAGTATATTTCACGATGGCAACATGTTACAATTACACAAAAAGTTACAAACGGTTTAATGAGTGATCACGTTTGACTAACCATTTCATAAATGCTATGTGCCCTCCACCTGCTGTACGGACAACATCGAGACGATAGTTTAATTCGTCCCAAACGCCTCTCTTCTCACGTTTTCCTCTGAGGTGCATGGTCACCCTGTGCTCTTCCCCTTACATAAACAGCAGCCCGTTTCCTCAAAATGTCGGTACCAACGACGAATGCTCTTTGACATTGGCGGATCAATGCCATAAACGCCGTTGAAACGCACGCTGCACCGCAATTACGGATTCAGTTTTGCTGAACTGCAGAACGCAAAATGCCCCTTGTGTTGCGGGGTCACCATCTTGCGAATGACTGAGGCTAGGGGCTGTTTTTGCGCTGGAAGAGGCATCTAGCGGTAATCATTTGAAACTCTATGCCCCGCCCTCTCTATGCCCCGCCCTTTCAAGTGGTAAGAGTTTCATTCATGGGCGGTTTGTGGTTGCAGAGATATCGCGATTTCAAATCGGGTCCATCTTTTTTAAACACCCTGTATAATTCTATTACCCCTACCACAGCAATGTAAAATTTCCAATCCAGGCTCAGGACCACCAATGGAAACTGAAACTGCGAAATTAATGTTCTCGAGCATGGAAACACTTTAATTTCAAAGATTAAATAATAAAACCAGTGTATGATTTGCAAAAGCAATGCCCTTTAACCAGGTTAGAGTCATTATGTATCTCCACATTATTTAAAGTGAGACCTCGAAAACAGGAATCTTCATCATGGGACCTCCTTTGCCAGTACCAAAGAAAGCTGTCTCTGGTGTTGTTCTCGTGTGGTTCTTTAAAGAAAGCTGTCTCTGGTGTGGACCAATCAGTTTCAAAGACAATGTATATATTATAAGTGTTTTTTGTTTGCATTCTGACCACAAGTATTGTGGTTAATGCAGACATGATTCCTTGTAAAAAATTTAAGTTTGGTGTTTTAACATCTTAACACCTGTTTGTTGCCAGAAAAAAGGGGAAAACCTATTTTCAACAGTAATCTTACTTGCTGAAAAGTACAGCTCAAAAATGCTATGATAATTCTTTATACTTGAGGAATCTTTATACTTGAGGAATCATAGATGGAAGAACGATTCAGGCGTTATATTTTAAATATCACGTCTCCCTATATATGAGACTTTTCTGCCTCAGTGAGGTTTACATGACAATCATCATAAGTAATTGTCTATCAACTGCAATATCACAGCTGCCCCACACTATTGCCATCCCTTACAGCCCTCTGATAACACAATTCCTCACACTGGCACAAGCTCATCTCGCTCAATGCTCCATCTCTGTGGTAGTCGCCCACTTGGGCTTGATCTCTCCTCCCCAGACTGCAATTCCATAACCAGTCTCGTCCACTGGCATTCATCTCTCTCCAGGATGTGTCTTGCTCAAGCAAATATGCCTCTAATTTGCATTGCTTCCCCGATATATGTTCTTCTTTGTGTAATTCCAAGCATGAATCTCGAAGTCTCGTTGCACAGTTTTCACATCAAAGCCCATTGTCACTGGGCACTTTTTTGGTTGTAAATTGAGGTCACTAGCTTATCGCCAAGTAAAAATGAATGAATGCAAAATGTCAGAACTGCAGTATAAAAAAAAACCAAGAACAAATGCATATTGCCCATTCAACTATTTTTTTCACCATTCCATACTTAATAAAACAATTTATTCTAACCGTAATTTTACTGCTATCAATCATTATTCAGATAACAGATGTGACATTTCTGTGCCCAAACATACAGTTTAGCTTCAGAATGTTCCAGTAATTACAATGTAAGCAAGCTCTACACAACAAAGTTTCGTAATGTCAGTCCATACTTCAAGCCATTAAATATTGTTTGGAAATATGGACAGTGGCAAAAAAGTGCAACAAAAGCACACAAAGCAAGAGAGAAAATTCAATGCTCAGAATTAAACTAAGACAAAAAATAAAAAAATATATGGATTGGGCAACAAACTGCACAGACATATTGACAGTAGAGAAAAGTGGGCTTGGGCAGGACACATCACAGGGAGAGAAGATCTCGAACAGACAAGGCTAGTGATAAAATGAAAGTGATAATAAAAAGAATAATTTCTAACGCATACATTTCACGAAGTGGATATTGTTCCATCACAAAACCGAGGTGCCCAAGTACCCAAGATGACTGCCGCTTAAGGTAGAGCAATGTGATTAGTTCATGTGCAGCAACGAGATGATTTGTGGCATCGTAGGACTGAGGGATGGTGACAGCAAGGGGAGGGGGGGGGGTCTTCATCCTTCAGTTGATAAACAATGGCTGATGCCGATGACAGTGCTTACAATACTTCAGGTTATATTATGACCTGTGTGAGGACATAACATACAACCTATCGGCCACAATTGGTGCAATATCAATTTCGTCAAGGCTGCACTGCAATTGAGTTCTTCAGATAATTTGATGAAACACAATGCCACTGCAGAGTTAACTGTGATGATATGATGAATGATGTTCCTGTTTATCACTTCACTTGGAAAAAAGCATTACAACTATGCTTGATATTACAGAATTAGTTGAACATAAACCCAATACCATAAATAGAGAAGGGAATTCAACCTTTGAAAATAAATAATATGCAATGCCTTGCAAATTAGTAAACACTGTTTCCCATTGGTATATTTTAAAACAACAAAATACATAAGCAGACACTATGTCTCCATATATCTCTCCGCATAAAATATAAGTATGCCTTACACAACCCATCAGACAGCCTTCTGGAAGTGCATAACTTCAGCAGCATTAAATCAAGTAGACATATTTAATGATTATTTATTTAGTTATTTATATTCTCCACAATGACACTTGTGATTATTTTTAGTTATATTTAAACAAATAATGTCTCCCCCCTGTATAGATTGACATGTTCCAATTAATGTTCTTTAATGTGGATATGTACACTGTATTCCTATCTTGTGTATTCACTTCATGCCATTTCCAGCCATTCATTTACATTTCAATGAAGAAGCACTACTCAAGCTGCACCCTATCTTGAGATATTCACGAAATTAGGCGATGCCGTACATAAACCTTACTGTATTGCACATTACTCATACAATGAAGTGTGGTGTAATGCGCACGTCAGTTCTTTGTGCTTACCAGAAATGGAGCTTTTTCACTTGCACTGGCTTTACGCCACAGCTTAGCAATTTGTTTGGCTCTTGTGGGCCAGTCTGCACATGCAAGAAGACAAGTATACAAAGAGAAAAGGGAAACTGCTTTCAAATAAACTATTCCTTTATATAAAACAGCACAAATATCAAATATCATGGGTTCCCCCCTCCCAATTACTAGAGTCCCCAAACAAAACCCGCACATGTGCATGTGCAGACAACTCTCCAAAACCCGCAATGACTCACCAGGACCCTACTTTATTTACTGCCACATACTGGACACCCCCCAAGTCTCCCAGGTAGGCTTTTAGCACACACAACAATCGCGGTAGAATTATTCTACCCCAGCAATTCAAGTCACAATTCAGGATCAGGACTATTTAAGAACTAAATATTGTTTTAATATTGTGGTGAATGTTAGTGCCTCTAGTAGCTAGAGGGATCACTTGAACTAATTTTATTTTTAAAAAGACAATTTAAAAAGCATCAATTCTTACACAAGGTATTTACTGCATATATCTTGAGCTTAAAAATCCATATTATCTGACAAATCGATGGAATGTCCCACCCAACACAAGTGTAAATTAACGTGATTCACTAACTCGTGTCTTCAGAGCTCTTGATTGCAGATGTGCTAACACCATAGGCCAATGTATCCAAATTTGCACGAAAGATTATCTTGGGCCAAGGTTAAATTAACTTATCGAGACATGGGGAATAGTTTTCAAACCATGAGGATGAAAAGAACTCGGAAAATAGGAGCAGCTCGTCCTGGGCTCAGCGGTGTTAAACATTGTGTGCCGAAATAAAGGAGGAGCATAAACTGCTCACGCGTACCCGGGTACTCGGTTTTCAGGTTGGGGAAGTTGATGTTGGCATACAGCACAGGGGAAGTGGTCGCCATCTCGCCCAGCAGCTCGTCCTTCTCCCACTTGAGGATGTTGCGCTGGTTGTAAGAGAGGCCGTCCCCCTCCCCCTCTCCGGCCACAGCTGGGGGCGCTCCCGCCGCACTCCATGGGCTGGCAGGGTTGGAAGAGGGGCTGAACGAAGACACCTTTTCCCTGCAACCACTGGGCGCACACGTCCACAGTAAACAATATTTGCGATTAATAAAACAGCATGGGAATGGAGAAGTCAGACTAATGTAGCATTACTGCTCATTTATTGACAAAGAACTTGAATTAATATAAAAAGTTGAAAGATTCTCCCAAATCATACAAGCACTTTGGTGATGCCTGTATACATTGGCAGTCTTGAAAGCCTGCAGCCACAATACTGCTATATTCCTATGGCATAGGATGACCATTTTTGGCTTCAAACATTTGCACTAATTTTCAATCATTGCCCCGAATTTTAATTGCAATTATTGGAAGTCAAGCAGACTAACTAGTGCCACCTGCCCAGATTAATATAACGATTGTCTCATTTATCCAGGAAAAAAGTTGCGTGTACAAAAACTCTTTTTAAGACGGGTGCCTTTTCTGAAGTTATTATTAGGATAATTTTCCTGACAAACACTGCATTTTTGAGATGCTGTTGATACATTTCATTTTTATATTTATCAGGAAAGCCACTCAAAACATGAGGAGCAACATAATGCAAACAGCATTAGAGATTATGTGCACATGTGTACAAGCTGGAAAAGGGTAGATGGGTGTAGGCATAGTGCTCCTAATGATCCAATTACTTTGGATTTGTGTAGAGAGTGCAATTTCCATCCATATTAAATGGTATGCCAATCAGAAACATTTCTGACTTATCAATATGGAATTCAAATGAACTTTTTACAAATAAATATTTAGGACAATCTGCCTAATTATATAGAACAAGCAAATATAATATATTCTCAATATTCTGAAATACATTGATGCAAGTATAAAAATAAGCTCTTAAGATCAAGAATGGTTTAGGGATAACTGGTTTGCCAATGCCAGGTCTAGATTATTCAAATAACATCTTTGCATGGCCAAAGACAATCTAATTTACTTTCAAATCACCAGACGATGACAGTAGCTCCTTCAAAAGCTTACTGAAACAACCAGTGACACACTTGGCACTCACTGACATGAAAGATGACACTGCAGTTTGCTGAATATGAACACATGTTGATGTACAATAATCACATTGTGGGCTCTTTTTATATGTTGTTAAAAAATGTATAACTATAATTTTTGGACAGCATGCTTATACTTATCATTGCATTAATATTATCACGACTTTACAGCACTCTCAAACCAGTTAAATGCACACTGGGAAATAAACTCTACATATTCACCTATGCCCATATAAAATATATTACATAACGGCTACAGTATGCCAAGCCCTCTTTTCCTGTAATGCACCAGTCTTCCAAGAAGAGCTGACAGCCAATGTCAAATCATATTTCTACATTTTGGCTTTTTATCACTAATTTTAGTACTTATATATAGGCAATGAAGTGACAAGCTCTCAGGGAAGTATGTTTCCTTTGAAACTAGATTAATGAAAACGGACTCTCATTTTACAGCCAAGATAACAACAAACAACATTTGTGAAATGACAAATAATACAAATGAACCCAAAAAGCTTGGTTAGAGGCACTCACAAACACCAATTATAGAAAAAGCCTGTGTGGGTGACATCTCACCTAAACTCTGGGAAAGAAGCCTGTGGCATCATGGGCGAGGGCTCCGAGCGACCGTGTGCGGGAAACTGTGAAAGTGTTGTCAGGTTCCTTGCTGCACCCAGAATGCCTGGGGAACCACCGTACGTAGCACAGAGAAACCAAACGTATCACAGAAAGCAGGGTTGATAGCCTTGCATTACTCTAAATTGACTGATTGAGAAAATATTATTTTTTAGGACAGTGCACATAGCACCATGACACTGTAATATTACAACATGGCTATGGAGAAGAAGCAGATCTCCAAGTTCTTATCTGGGGAACAAAATATAACATACAAGATTTTGAGGCGGCATCTGTGAAGCCATTTACGAGTTTGTCGATTGTAGGAATGCTTTTTTTGACTTTGCGCGTGAAACAAAATATACCAGTAATTATTTTGTAGAAACTTTTTTTTACTAATTGCGTACTTTCAAAACATATTCTTTTAAAAAGGGTAACATTTTATGGCTGCAATGTTATTTCCTCTTTTTGCTCTTCAATTCAATTATTCCACACTTGCCTAATTTTTACATTAGATGAGTGCATGCGCACACACACGAAAGCGGTCAAACACGCGTGGGCATTGGGAGTACCGTGAGTGTTCTGGACTGGGGGCTGGGGTTGACTTCCCCCTGCTGGGCTGATTGCGGAAAAAAGGTCAGCCACATCCTTCGCTTCAATCTTTGCCAGCTCTGCAAAGGGAGAATCCAGCCATCCATTTGTCATTATTACTTTGTTAATTATCTGGCCGAACAGCACTCTGGGATAATAAATTGATGATTGGGAGTTCAAACTCTTGTAGAATGTATACTAGACCTATTGTCATCCCTCTGGGTTCTGTAGTATATATAATACTTTGGGGGAAATCCACAACTGTTGTCCTGGAGAAAAAAACTAGTTCCCAAAATTCGAACTTTCCACCATTCGCTCAGGGCTACCATTTGGAATGTGCAGCATCCAATGCCTGTTTGAGCATAAAAACACCGTGACTTTATGAACTACACTGCATGAGCACTACTGAACTTGACATACTTTTTTATCATAGACACTTGCTTTTCCAACAGCTTTTCGGAAACACTGCCTTCAGAATTATTAAAAATGTCCGGCATGTGTGAAAGAAAACACTAATTCTCTTCTGACACTCTACAGAAAAAACAAGGTTCAACCATTACTGACCATCGGTGACGATGCGGTCTAGGTCGGAGGTGCCCAGCAGGCTGTCGAGTGGTTCAGCCCGCAGCTGTTGGCCACGCTGCGTTGCAGCAGCAGCAGCAGCAGCAGGGCCCTGGGCAGAGCTGCTCTGCTCATCTGGTATGGAGCCCAAGTCCAGACCGGCTGTGAGAACAACGCAATACAAGCCATTAGCCAAACGCCACGTTCACAACGCGTGGGTGGCAGGCGGGGGCGCAGCAAGGCGGCAGAGGAGAAAATTTATCTTAAAGAAGGAGACATCATTTGTGCCAAGGTTCAACGCACATGCAAGAGATGCTTAGAAAAAGATCAACTCTATGATATCGACAGAAGCAGAACAGACAAAAGCACAGCAAATACAAATTCACGGATCAGTGCGCTGATATGTTTTTATAGTGTGCTCGGACGAAAATCAACTTAACAAAACAATCGCTTGAATTATTTGAGCGTATGAAGATGTTACCTCCAGAGTTTAATCAATTAAATGGTTTGAGTAACGCTACATTGTGCATTACTGTGAACCATTTAAGATAGAAAAAAATAGACGAACCAACCACTTCCACAAAATAATACCATGCTGCACTTCAAAAAAAACTAAATAAGAAGAGTTGGAGAGTGCTGTTGGCTACAACTAATCCAGCGTCTCCACAGCACAGTAAATGCATACAGGAACCTTGCCCAGCTGACTTTGTACCAGTACTGCTATAAGCCACGTTCCCCATCCATCCCATGTAACTGATTGCAAAGAAGTTTAAAAACTAACACGATGTATGGTTTTAACAAGGCCAATAATGTCAGAGTCAACCATGATGTCAAAACCGTAGTCAGGTTGGAGAGCCCCCTCGCACTGTTTAGAAAGTTCTCCCAGTCAGTGGCCATGCAGTATGAAGATGGGCTGGTTTGAAAGTAGTGGGGCGGGGGATGGATGGAGGTTCAACTCTGGGCAGCTCGATGCAGGTCCAGCACTCATTAAACTATGCCTTGGAAACGAGGCGTAGGAACGGCACAGAGCGGGGGGGCAACGAGAGTCGGCGCTCTCCACTAGGACACACACAGCGCAGCTGCGCACCCAGGGCGCTCTGCTCTCTTACCGAACGGAGAAGGCGAGTTCACGAGGTGAAAAGAGTCTAAATCGGAACCTACAGAACCCAAACCAAAAATGAGTGATTATAATTATGAGAATAATTATGAGAATGGAGCAAAATTCAGCAAAAGGCAGAAAGTAAACATGTATAATAAAAAAGCATGCACAACAATAAGAGAGAGGGGTGATCAAGCATCATAAAAGGAACCCTTACTCGTAATGACAACATAAGAGGTTAAATCATTCAATAGAACTATTAACAAAAACTACTTACAAATAATAAAACAATGGTATGAATTGAAGCTAGGGTACTTCAGTTAATTACGGTTTTCATGTATGTTCCGGCTCCACTGCTATCCGTGAAATCAACAACTAGGTTACACTGACCATATGAGCAGCCTTCACCACTAAACATTTTGGCCCCAAGGTACTTTTTTCATTTACTAGCCGATGGGTGGCACAGCCACCCCAGTGCTGGTCTCCTGGACAGCCACAAACGTCCTGGCACTCGCCATGCAGGACAGTAGTGCAGTAACTGTGTCATAACAGCGGCCAAATGAAAGGACATTGATGCAGAACTCTTGCCACCATGCAGCAGGCTAATGCGAAATGCACAATCTATTTTCAGACCTCATCGAAACACTGGAGATTACTCTTAACAAAGCAGATGCATTATAAACAGCTTCCGCGACTAATGCTAGCCAAACGTGACGGCTGAAGTTCATGCTACCAAATATAATAAGTATCCATAGCATTCACATATTAAGGGAAAAAAATGGGGTAACAAGACAAGTGTTTATAGAATATACTAAGAAGGGATCTAGAAGACTATACTTTTAACCAAAATGTGTCTACCACCTCTATACATGTGCGGTTTTGGGCGCAGTTGGCTACATGTGCCAAGTCAGAGCCATCTTTGGCAGAAGCAATACAAATTGGTCCCTCTGGCAGGAAGGATATAGAAATCTTAAATTTAAATCAGCAGCGTGCTAAATGGCCTGAGCAAAAATGGTCCATGCAAAAATGTTGTTCTTAGCAAGTAAAGCATCCAGTGTTGAAGCATGTATTTTGAAATTTACTTTGCTCAGTCTGTGTTAGCCGCTGCGGTCGTGACGGGTTTCGTTTTTCATTCCTGTTGCTGCTGTGCCCCTGGACCGTTCCCGAACTGCTGTAATGGGCACTAATACTTACTTTATTGAAGGCGATATATTGGCATGTAAAATGAAGATCGATTGATTGATGTATAAAATATAGCTAAGCTGAATCTTCATATACTTCCATAATTAAAATTTAAATATTGACCCTGTAAGTGAAGGATATCAACGTATCTTTTTTGGTTCTTTGGGTAAAGTCACGTAGAATGAGAATAAAATAATAAATTGATAAAATAAAATAACACAATATTCTCACGACGTTTCGGCCACAACACAAGCGGCCTTCATCAGGTGAAGGGACGAGACTGTCTGGAGGACAGCGCTCTCCTCGCTGTCCTCCAGCGCTGTCCTCCAGACAGTCTCGTCCCTTCACCTGATGAACGCCGCTTGTGTTGTGGCCGAAACGTCGTGAGAATATTATTGTGATATTTTATTTTATCAATTTATTATTTTATTCTCATTCTACGTGACTTTCCCGAAAGAACCAAAGAAGATGAATCCTTGCAGTCACGAAAGCTTTAAATCGAAAGATATCAACGTAGTTTAGTTTTGGTGGAATTGTACAAAGACTGACGGATGGGGCCCCTTATCTCTGCAGTAAGAATATATACTTGGGAGTATTACCATGGTCATATTTCACAATGCCTTGCTCATGAAGGAAAACAATTATTAAGAACACATTCACGTTATTAATGTGAAGAATGCCAAAACCAATGTAAATAACAAACTACAGGCTTAAATGGCCTCTGCCTTGAGACAAATTTGAGGACCAACGGTGTGAGTAGTCTGGACCGGGAGTTGGTCTACCTTTTCATGTGTAGCCAGGGGCGATCAAACATAATAAACATTTGACTCATATCTGCTTCTTACAGTGGCATGACAATCCAAACAAACCTTTAGAAAAGTTGATATTGGCCTGTACTTCGGGATAAGGGAAGATGCATGCCTCTCCTATGGGCTACTAGCTTTAAAAGAAAGACATGCTGTGTTGGCTCCCACACAGTATGATAGATCTCTCGGCTGATGCACCATAAGGCTGAATAATTATCTAAGGGTGACAGGTTAGGGTGCAAAAGCTAAGTCTAGGAGAAATGGTTGGTCTAATGCAAATAACGCTAGAGGCCATTAAAGACATGTTTTTATGTTATTTCAATGACAGGCATGGGTGTATTTTGGTTCAAAACTGCAATGAGACCCCCTGACAGACTTGCGATTCATTTTATCTTCTCTAAAAATGACTAAAAAAATCAACTCTCCGAGGCCCGATGCGGCAAAATGATCAAAACCTCAAATTGAACAGTTTCAGGTGCTAACTTGTAGCCCTGGCCCAGTAAGCTCTCAATATATTCTCATAATGGGATGGTCCAGCCTCATTGATCTCTTAAATCATATATGTTTAGTAATCTCATCGATAGAGAAAGAATACCAGGGATTGGCATCCATTTCAGTCTCGGCCACAATTTTGAAAACACCGAAAATGAATTTCATGCTTAGGGGTCCTCAAGTAAAATGTTCATGGACCACTATTGTTCAAACAATGCCTCCTCAGCCTAAACATCTGGAACCAATGAATATATTCTTCTTTGCATTTCTAACACAAGGCCTATGATGGTAACCTGAAAGAGGGCTATCTTCAACTAGAGCAGCCTATCTATGAGAAAGATGTGTCTGGCACCTCTGTATGAGCAATGAGATTTACCAGTGCATCAGTCTCACAAATTACATTTTGGGCCTACTTTCAACAATGCTTCCTGTACGATGGCCAGAAACGACTTCTGGTTTAGCTAGCCTGCGATGGGAAACATTGCTTGAGAATATTAACCTGGTCACAAAGTCCAGGACATGCACCATACTAGGTTTGGGTCCATCTCGTTGAGACATCTAAGACAAGAAAATCCTGGCCGGTGTTGCACTGGGCTCTCCAATGTATGGCCATCAAAAAAACTTATTTTGGTCTGCTTTCACCCTGGTGAACACATGCAGAACTAATTAAACGCTAAAGGACAGCCAATCAAGCTGGTAATAGCACTTGGCACTCAAGAGGTACAATAATTAACTCTGCCCTTTTCTAATTACATGTCAGATCTATATACAGTGAGGGAAAAAAGTATTTGATCCCGTGCTGATTTTGTACGTTTGCCCACTGACAAAGAAATGATCAGTCTATAATTTTAATGGTAGGTTTATTTGAACAGTGAGAGACAGAATAAAACAAAAAAATCCAGAAAAACGCATGTCAGAAATTTATTTGCATTTTAATGAGGAAAATAAGTATTTAACCCGCTCTCAATCAGAAAGATTTCTGGCTCCCAGGTGTCTTTTATACAGGTAACGAGCTGAGATTAGTAGCACACTCTTAAAGGGAGTATTCCTAATCTCAGCTTGTTACCTGTATAAAAGACACCTGTCCACAGAAGCAATCAATTCGATTCCAAACTCTCCACCATGGCCAAGACCAAAGAACTCTCCAAGGATGTCAGGGACAAGATTGTAGACCTACACAAGGCTGGAATGGGCTACAAGACCATTGCCAAGCAGCTTGGTGAGAAGGTGACAACAGTTGGTGTGATTATTCGCAAATGGAAGAAACAAAGGAACTGTCAATCTCCCTCGGCCTGGGGCTCCATGCAAGATCTCACCTCGTGGAGTTGCAATGATCATGAGAACGGTGAGGAATCAGCCCAGAACTACACGGGAGGATCTTATCAATGATCTCAAGGCAGCTGGGACCATAGTCACCAAGAAAACAATTGGTAACACACTACGACGTGAAGGACTGAAATCCTGCAGCGCCCGCAAGGTCCCCCTGCTCAAGAAAGCACATATACATGCCCGTCTGAAGTTTGCCAATGAACATCTGAATGATTCAGAGGACAACTGGGTGAAAGTGTTGTGGTAAGATGAGACCAGCCGTGTTTGGAGGAATGCTGCCTGTGACCCCAAGAACACCATCCCCACCGTCAAACATGGAGGTGGAAACATGCTTTGGGGGGGTGTTTCTGCTAAGGGGACAGGGCAACTTCACTGCATCAAAGGGACGATGGACGGGGCCATGTACCGTCAAATCTTGGGTGAGAACCTCCTTCCCTCAGCCAGGGCATTGAAAATGGGATGACCCAAAACACACGGCCAAGGCAACAAAGAAGCACATTAAGGTCCTGGAGTGGCCTAGCCAGTCTCCAGACCTTAATCCCATACAAATCTGTGGAGGGAGCTGAAGGTTCGAGTTGCCAAACGTCAGCCTCGAAACCTTAATGACTTGGAGAAGATCTGCAAAGAGGAGTGGGATAAAATCCCTCCTGAGATATGTGCAAACCTGGTGGCCAACTACAAGAAACGTCTGACCTGTGATTGCCAACAAGGGTTTTGGCACCAAGTACTAAGTCATGTTTTGCAGAGGGGTCAAATACTTTTTTCCCTCATTAAAATGCAAATCAATTACTAACATTTTTGACATGCGTTTTTCTGGATTTTTGTTGTTGTTATTCTGTCTCTCACTGTTCAAATAAACCTACCATTAAAATTATAGACTGATCATTTCTTTGTCAGTGGGCAAACGTACAAAATCAGCAGGGAATCAAATGCTTTTTTCCCTCACTGTATATAAAAGCCCAGAAAAATCAGCTTTTCCATGACAATAAAATTAGGATATATTTTTAACCACAAAATTTGCGTGAAAAAAGCATTTCAGGAAGTCAATGGGGGATACTTGTGTATGGATACAATCCCAGATTAAAACAAGGATCAGTTACATGGGATAGTTTTTCATGGTGTGTTTTCATAAATATCTTGAAATTTACAGCTTTATGACTCTCCCTCTCAGAGATACTTGCTGCAAATGCCACCTTCGTTTGCAACCCACAAATGCAACACAAAGGATTGCTATTGGGAATGGCAAGGCCACCTATCAGTCTTGGGGATTAGGGAAGGTGATAGAATCACTACTAAGAAATGTAATTTTCCGATGATCAGAAAACTTTGAAATGTCAAACCTTAGAGGACGCTTTAAATAAATGTCCTCCAAGAAGCTAAGCTAATTGTTTTTTTGTACATTTTATCGCTGTGACATTGCCTAGCAGTTGCGCGTTTGCGGCTTAGAGGTTTGTGGTTAAAACCAGCGGCCACCCTGGTTATTACAAGCGATGTATTTACCATAAATATCTGTGCCATCTGCTTCACAGTGGACGTCATTTGCTAGAAAGAGTAGATAATTGTGTGCCGCCTGTCAGGGGTCAAATTTTAAAAATGACCCGCAAATTACCCAATTGGAATACAGAGCAATCATCACCTACTACTGCAAAAACTTGGCAGGACCCTCGTGCAAAAAGTGTCATGAAACTTAGGGCAATTATCTTGCGTAAAAAGAAGTGTAAAAGACACACTGTTACTTCGAGCTAGAAATATGACAGAGAATGAACACACTGAATGTACTGGAGCTCGGTGGTTGATGCTATTCATCTTCACAAGACCAAAGCGCAAGTATCATATCTGGGGATATCTTCGTGTCTGGATTTTTCCAGGCATTTACACTAGAGTGGGTGCACCAAAGGCCAGCTAGCTCGTGAAAGGATATCACCAGGGGCCAAAAGGTTTTGGACTGAAAAATACCCATCTGAACAATGCCTGCATTGCTGCAAGAACAGACTACAGGGAAGCTGGAAGACATGATGATTGAAGCTATTATGGCCTCTTAATTTCTTTATTCGTTTTATTTTTTATATGTTACCAATAACAGGTGAATTTAGTTTGTCACCTGTGGTTTCTGATGACTTTCTGAGACCCCCTGATAGGATGCCCAGGATCTCATCACTGGACAGGACCTCGGAGAGGGCTGCCAGGGGGTCCTCAGCTGCTCGGGGCACTGGAGAGCACACAACCAAGCACTCGGCAAGAGCATTCAACATCGATGCTAAGCTTAACTAATCTTTATGCGATTCCAGTATTTCGTCCTTTCTCAGCTCTGCAGTGTCTGCATTATCAACCTATGTTTTCATTTACGCACAGCTGAAGTGCTTTCGACATGTTGCTGCATCCCTATAATTCTGTAAATGATATCATCAGCAAATTGCCTAGAAAATCTTCATCATGGACTTTCAAAGCTTTGCACCTATGTACTACTGTCTTTGAGATCAACAACCTCTCCTCTCCAGAAAACACTGCTTTAAATCTGACAAACACAACAATCTCTGAACGGTTAAATCCCATATTTGCTAATACTATGCCATAGGGATGGCATTCCATTCAATGTCCACATATTTTACAGTTATAAGTTTTAATCCTTGGATTAATCTTCGCTTTGGCATGTAGAGTAAGCATCCTTTTTAAATCCTCCTTAAACTCTGGTTGTTACTGTATATTATACTTGTAGATCATACGTTAATGTATTTCCATTCCTTACCTTACCAGAATCATGTTGAACCCTGTGTATGTTGATAAATACCTTTTGCATTTTAACACTCCCATACACAAATACCGTTCAAAATGCAATGGCTCTCCTATTATATGCATGTCCCACAGCCTTCACACACCACATAAGCAAAGCAACTGTTGGGAATGTCGAGTCATATTTCGAATGCTCCCAGCTAACCTCAAGCATGAAATAACAATATGCACGCATGACCCCCTGTATGTTATCAAATAAGGGGCTACCACTTTCAAGTGCTAATCATCACTGCAGACGGTATGATAAGTTTCTCACATTGGTAATTTTTCACATGCTTGGCCAAACAAAAAGTTAACTAAAGTAAAGTATGGACAACAGACTACTGAACAACTTCTATGTGAGTTGATCATTTCCTGCACGTCTAGAGGCCTGGACCGCATTTGCGCATTGCGAAGGCAGCGTGTTTTGGCTCACCCTGCGCCTTTCCGTCGTCCGTGGCCGTGCCTGCACTGATGGGAGTAGACGTGAGGCAGGGTTCCCGGAGACGCTCGGCTTGCACAGGAGTTCCATCGTCCGTGGGCCCTGCCTCGTCTCTGGCCACCACCTCAGGGGTCTCCGACTGCGCAGGGGGTGTGGGTTTCTGCTGAGGGCCCTCGCTTGGCTGTGCCGACTCCTCGTCGGAGAAGAGATCAAGGCTGGAGCGCTTCTCTTTGCTTGTGTCTAGGAGCCCCTTCCCAAAGAAGGCCTCCTGTGGCAGGAGCCAGAGAGAAGGTAGCAAATGTCAGTATGGTGGTCCATAAAGTTCCAATACACAATCAAAACACTTAGTGATTTTTTTCAGTTTTTCGAGACACGGATGGTGCTGGCAATATTGTGGCCACACCTTATATGGCAGTAGCACCACGTATGCAAAAACCTGTAAAAACAGAAAGCAAATATATCTCTTTGGGTCCTGTGAGGTGTGCAGCACCATGGCACTGCTCTCACTCCGTCGCACACTCATGCTGCAATGGTTTTACAACGATGAAGCCACCTGGCGCTGTGACCTCACACCCTCATTCATGCTAATGCGACGGATGAAGTACTAATATTGGACAATGCGTTAGTGACTGCATTCTGATAACCATCATTATATATCAAAACCTTGATTACCCACATTAATGCAGTGGGATTCTTTGTATGTACAGATATACAATTTGACAGTTTGAACATTAAAAATAGTAACAGTGTATACAACCCTATATATTCAAAATTACCTGTCTCCCAAACACACACAAACGGAAATGTAATATTCAGGATATGGGTTTCACCATCAGACAAAGTATGCAATGAAATGCTATTAAACAACCAGTTCCGTCATGTACCCTGAAAATATACAAGAATATCAAATACAGTAAAACCTTGGATTGCGAGCATAATTCGTTCTGGAAACGTGTTTGTAATCCAACACACTCGTATATCAAAGCGAATTTCCCCATAAGAAATAATGGAAACTCAAGATGATTCGTTCCACAACCCCAAAAAATTCATATAAAAATTATTAATACAAAAAACCTTTTATATTTTTATTATTTAAATTTAATATAAAGTAATCAAATTTATTAATTAAATTTAATCGTGGCTGGTGTGAGGGAGACGAGACAGAGTAGAGGAGGAGGGTTATTGTGTAGGACGACTTTCAATGTCATTAACGGAATCACTGCTATCTGTTGGCTCACTGGAATATTTTTCTTTTTGTGCGACTTTAACAAGGAACCTATCCAATGACACTTGCTTTTGCCTCCTTTTGAGGATTTCGCGGAAATGTGACATTGCATTGTCGGGCCATTGTTGGAGTACAGTTACTAAAGAACAGTCACGACACTTGGACACAAAATAAAAAAATGCTTTACGCACACACACGTGGTCACAACACTATAGTTAAACAGTACACGCTTGCACGGATGTTGACTATACGAGTGAGGCACGCCGACTGAGACCGAGCATGGGAGACGATTACCCACAATCCCGCAGCGAGAGAGAGATAAGAACCATCGGCTCAGTTGTGATCACGTGATGCTCGGCAGACAAAGCGTATACGTACTACTCGTATTGCAAGACCTCGCTCGTTTATCAAGTTAAATTTTATTTAAAAAATTTGCTCGTCTTGCAAAACACTCGCAGACCAAGTTACTCGCAATGCAAGGTTTTATTGTACATCACTTATAAAAGGTAAGCAAACTTACTCCCACCTTCAATATGCAAGCTGTGAACATGTTCTGTGCAGCGTGTACTATTTAATACGACCAAACACTGCACAGATATGTAGCTGTGAACAACAGAGCATTGTAACCAATGCATCAGAAATGTTTCTGTCCATTCTAATATACCACTCTTTATGCCTGTCCACATGCGTTGCATTGCTTTTATAAGCATGCAGACACTTACCACTAGCTAGCAGCATCTGTTAAGCATACAAATGTTGCCACATGCACACAAATGCACAACTCCTTCAAATGCATGCCAAGTGTTAAAAAATACTGATTTCCAGTCCATTCGAAGATTAATGGTGTTTTCATTATTTTAAATTTACATTCGCTTTATTAATGCTAAGTTTTGGTTCAGAGATTTAATCTCTTTCAATGGAATCTTAGTTGGAGCAAATAAAATCAACAAGGCAGCAGCAAGCTTGTCCATTATGGGTGATATGAACTTCCAATTTCTATCTTTTAAGGAACATATTTGAAGTGATTTTAACTAAGCATTGGGAATTGAATAATTTTCTAATATTGTCAAGCAAAACGTTAAAACTAAACCTAATTTTCTGATACAAACATATCGTACATCTGCAAAGGACCACCTTGTGATTCAGGCTGAAGAACAAAATGTGTGATCGCTACTGATATATTAATCCTTTCTCATTACAAAGATGTACATGTACATTGTAAAAAACTAAACAGGAAAACTAAAATAAAATAACTTTATCGGTACTGAGGCTCCCCACAAGTTCATGCGGGAGGGTGTGGCACAGTTTGGCGCCAGCTATCATAGAGTGCGGTTGTGCCGCTATAGTTCTCTGGGGCGAGTACAATGTCTTTAAAAATAGCGCTATGCCTCTAAATAAAATTAACGCTCAGCCGCTTGCGCGTTCTGAGATGCAGAGGTGAATGGGACCCACCCTGCAACTTGCAGACGTATCGGAACGGGAAAGGGTTAACAACACTAAGAACCTCAGTGCTGTGAACACCAATGCTGGCATTGTTGGTGATGGATTAGATGTCACCCACCACCCTTCAGTGTGCATCCATGTCTATCGAGGCAGTGCTGGAGATGTGTGTGGCCATGAACCTGCAGGTACGTGGGAAAAGCATCCTCCAGGGCACTCTTTTTCTTCCTCCAGCGCCTCTGCTTCTGCTTCTCAATTGGCTCCGGAGTTGCTGTTATCTCATCCATGGGCGTCTCGGGGAGATGTTCACTGGTCACTGAGAAAACAGAGGGACCATCTATAAACAACTTTCAGTAAGCTGGGGATGCGAGTATTCATGATAACGCCTTCGGAGGAGAACGCAAAGACGTCATCTTACCGTCATCAGACCTCCCGATGTCGGACGCTACGGGGCTGGTCAGGGAGTCAGAACGTGCTCCGCCTGTGCCCCGGCGGGACACGCCTCTTCCCCGCATGGCGCCCCCACGCCCACGGTGCCGCACCATGAAGCCCCCGATCCCTGCAAGCCACCCAAACAGAAAAATTCCCTTCAAGAACCTATCGTATGGAGGTTTGATGAGACGTTAATACGCAGGTATCATACCTATAAATGTAATTTTTTGTCTGTGTCCGTGTGCGAGGCATTTAACTCACAAACTGCTGGGTTTACGTTTAAACAAACTACACACGTATGACGCAATAAGCCCCCGACCGACAAATCGCGACTTATTTTTCCCATCTGTCAAATGTAAAGTAGTTAAATTAACAATGTATTCCTTTTATAAGCACCCATCTGCGCATGCGCGAGAACGTTGACTCGGTGGGGGGGGGGGAATTCTCATTGCGTTCAAAATGCAATAAAAAAACACAACGCTGAGCTAAATTCTTCAAAGTGTGATGTCCTCTTCTCCCCCCCCACCCCAATGTGTGCAGTTCTGTATATAGAGTCAGTAGATACGACGAATATAGTTCGTTGTTCGGCAGGGGAATGGTGGGGGGGGGGGGGTAGCGGCCCAGCCCCAGCCGGCCAAGAGGCTACCTCGGCCGGCTGGGCAAGCTAGGCGAGGCCGGAGGCTCTGCACGGAACTAGGCCTCACCACAGCACTCAATTAAGTTAGTAGTTAACTGCTACAGAGTCGATAGATACTATTATAGAGTCACTAGATACTCCTCACTCGATTGTATGTAGGGTGTGTAGATATATATGCCGACGAAGGGGTAAAAATATCTTTTGAGGGGGGGGGGGGACATCGACAATTTTCAGAAACCTTTTAGATCAACTATTTTCTCTCATTTTCTATTACTTTTTGGACTTCTGCAAGCCACTTATAATTTTGTTCATGGACAAATGGACAAACGGCGCACTAGGCTTTCATAGTAGCTTAGCATTTGCGTATGTATATATTATGTTTTTAAAATAAGTTTTCCCTCGGGCAATGCCAGGTACTTCCCACTCGTCAACAATATTTTCATAAAATAAATTTACGTTAATTAAGGAGTATGCATTTCACATTTTGAAATAGTTGAGAATTAGTTATTCACATCCAGCAGCATTATGACAACTATCCCAGCCAGTTTTACGTGATGCGAGTCAAGTAGGCAATTGTATTGGTAGATACGAGTGGAATGTGCCCTACCTGGCCGGTAGGGGTTGCGCTTGCGTTTCTTGACACTGTCCACCTCCTTGCTGCACAGCACGGCGCTGTCCTCCTGTGTCTCCCGCTCGGGGCTGGTGAACGTTTCTGACTTGTTGTCGCACTCCATGGTCTCGGCCTCTGAGTAATTAATGCCATCATCACGTGTCCATCAAAACTGCTTGACCTGATTGTGACATCCTCCATAGAGCTCACAGCTATGTCTTACTGTGCTGCGTGACTATGCTTTTCTCTGAAGTGCAAATGAAATAAGTTAAACGAATCAGAAACTCAACATCCGGTAGGTGCATATGGTTGAAAGAATCAGTGACTGCACAGTAGCGTAGCATCGATTCAGCTGGAAGGTGAGATGTTCAAATCAATGTCAGTGGTCGAGTCAGCCAATCGTTTCTCTGTAATCAATAAAATTGGCATCCCTTTGTCAAAGGTAAACAGTGGCTGCCCTACAGACCGCTTAGTTCTTTCTTTGGAATATGGCATTTCTACCAGGGACTCAAGACTGCCAATGGACATATGCACAAGTACGTATTTTAATATGAAGCTTACCCTTTAATTTTTATTCAAATGTATTACTGAGAAGACATCAATATTAATATAATTGATTTGAATACAAAATTGAATAAGTCAATATTGTATCAGGATAATTAGCTCAACTGATTTCCAATTATATAACATTTAGTTGCCAGGGACATGGATTATTTTCGGTCCCAATTAATCCTCCAATAACACATTCATATTTTAGTAAAATCTCTCAGACATTTTATGCACACTCTTTGGATAATTCGTTAAAGTCACTTAGGTAGAGAAATAAAACAAAATAAAATAATATATCACATTTCGATCGCAACACAAGCGGTCGTCCTCAGGCGGAAAAAATAATCCAGCATTGGAACTGCTGAACTAGCGAGAGAGCAGCTACAACAAGAGGTTATTTATGTGGCGATGGGCAAGCAAGCGGGGTCTGAGCTGGACAGGAATTCCATCCCCGGACGCAAGCACGTCAGTTGTGTTAATGGGGGAGGTTAGGGAAAGAGAGATTATGGCGAGAGATTAGCATGAAATGAGCTTCCGTCGCCGCATAAGAGCATCATTTTATGCACAGCCTCTATTATCTGGAAACTCACCGAGTGTCGGAGGTATTTTTAATTATATGCCCGCTAAAGCAATCACACACAGCCAATTATGAATTAAAATACATTTTTAAGGCCACAATGTTGTCTGAAATTTACATTTTTAATAAAATAAAAAATATATTATTAAATTCACTCAGTAGACTAACTAAAGAAGCCAAATGCGGCAAGATCAGATATGACATCAATTCTCACCCACAATGTAAACACAATGTGCTTCTGAAAATGCAACTTAGCTACTTTGACTATCAATTTGAAAAATCTTCTCATTAAAAATCCATCTGTCCTCATGTCAGCAGGAATCTCTGAATCTTTCATACATGCTATTTTATGGTTAATAACTTTTTTAATGTGTTTCACAGAATGTTTCCCATAGTTTTCTTTCTTTATCTACACAGGGAGTGAAGACTTTTATTTAAAAAAATGTACCCAATACAATTATGCAAAAATATTATTTGCGAGCTACCCAGCAATGATACCATCATGTTTTGCAGGACATTCTTTAAAAAGGTCTTTGTATAATATTTATACCTTGATTTTCAGCAATGGGCAAAAGTTAGTGGTCCAATCTGTGACTATTCAAATATTTATTTAAAATAATAAACAATACCAAACCATTTCGATTTAAAGCTTTCGTGACTGCAATGATTCATCTTCTTTGGTTCTTTTGGTAAAGTCACGTAGAATGAGAATAAAATAATAAATTGATAAAATAAAATAACACAATAATATTCTCATGACGTTTCGGCCACAACACAAGCGGCCTTCATCAGGTGAAGGGGCGAGACTGTCTGGTCACTCCAGCGCTGTCCTACCAGACAGTCTCGTCCCTTCACCTGATGAAGGCCACTTGTGTTGTGGCCGAAACGTCGTGAGAATATTATTGTGTTATTTTATTTTATCAATTTATTATTTTATTCTCATTCTACGTGACTTTACCGAAAGAACCAAAGAAAATACCAAACCATGGTTTGTGTTTTTTCTCCAGGTATGCAGGTTTCTTCTTATTTACAAACAGGCTTAACAAGGTACTAGACAGGATTCTCCTGAAAAATATCCCCAAGATTCACTCAGTGAGGCTTTCCTGGGCAATCAATGTTATTACATCATTATCAACATTAATGGGCATTGGGGGTGGTGGAGCAGCAACAGACGTGAAGCCTTCGCGCTTCGAACGGACAATCTGTGGTCAAGTATAGTGCATACTTGGGATGGTCTTTCATAGAAATGACTCCCTGTGCAATGCTGATATCCCGTCAATGGCTGCCACTACAAAACATGGTTTAATCACATACACACTCGTGCTCCAGCATAACAAGCACGTGTTCTAAGATTAAAGGAATATAATTGTAGTCATTAAAGCCATATTTCATGTTTTAAGACGACACATCTCTCAATGTTTCCTGCACCTCCGATTATCATGGTTGGCTACGTATGGTGCAAAAGAAGTTAAACATGCATGTTTTTTTAAACATGTTGAAAAAAAGTGGGAGCGTAATGTTCCGGAACCTGTGGTCCAAATGGTTTTCATCGACCGGTTTATTTTCTCTCACGTGAAAGGTATTCATGATTTCCTCTGTAAAAGTCTCCATAAAAAGAAAAAGCAGGGGTCATTGCTGATCCCCAATGAGAGCACCAAGCTGGTAGTGGAAATTCCTCATTCGTATTTAGGAATCCAGTCATGCCAGATGAAAAACGACTGCTGCCTTCACACAAAGTCGTACTCAATTATAAATGTCATTTGCTACCACATCCCTGGCACTCACCACCCTTGATGTCATCAGGCAGTGGCTCCTGCTCCAGAGGGTTGCTCTGGGGATGCAGCTCAATGGGGCTCTGCAGCTCCGTCACGAGGTCGGGCTGCCCAGGCAGCTTGAGGCGCAGCTTGGGCCGGCGCTGCTTGCGCGGCACGGGCGGCACAAGCAGGCTCTGCAGCTGCGTCAGTCCCGTCTCCGTCAGGTACACGCCGTCTCGTGAGTACACCTTGGGCGGCTCTAGAGGCACAGCGAAAGGGGTCCGGACACACCGATGTAGCATTAGCACGTGAATGTGTCAGTGATTCCCCGGTCAAACTAGCAAACTGGCAGCTCTTATCTCCAATACCGGCCCCTCAGCCAATAGCAGAAAATCCATGTTCTTATGATAGGGGACGGTGTGTTGATAAAAGTGTTACTCATTTTATCGTCGGAAGAATGATGACTGATACGGTGAGCAGACGCCCTCCCACTGGGATTTCAATTCCCAACCGCTGATCGTTACTCAATGTACATTGGCCAACTGGTACTGTAGGTAGACTCAGAATTGTACTCTTGACATATTAATGCAGCAGAGAAATGGTAATAAAAAATGTGATGCCCAACCATAATCCTGGGCATTTGAAGTAGTGGTTTCAGGAGCGTGTAAGGCTACATCTCAGCCCACAGGGCTGCGAGTTGGCCAGGGGATAGGTGTGCAACAAGTTCAATGTAAAAACACGAGCAAGCAAATGTCTAAACATCGAAAGTCTTTTGACTAAGTAACACATTTCACAATCAAAACAAGATTATTATTCGTGTAACCGTAGAAAAATGAAACTGTTAAGGTCCATTGTAGTACAGAATCAAGAACATGTGCTCTGGATATTAAGAGCAAATTAGCTTTATAAACCACAAATTAAATATGCCACATACATAACCCACTTCAATTATTTGTGATGAAAGAAGAAAAAACTAATTGTGAATATGCAAATAAAATACCCTTCAACTACCCAATATTAGACACCAATGAGATGCATTTAAAATTTTGCGATCACTGTTCAGAGACAAAACAACCAAAGCCTGACTTGTGGCACTCCCTCTTTTGGGCTGAAATACGAGAAAATTATTTTAATGCTAAAATATAGGCTCAATGAGTAGTTATCATTAAATCGGGCAGAGTACATATCATTTTACTTAGGGAACATTCAACATACAAATATTTTAATAAATGCACGCAGGAAAGGTTTATCAAACAAGATCACCCTATAGCCTGAACTGACTTTTGGGGCAAGTGCTGTTAGTAGCACCTACGAAGGCCCACCACGACACACGAGGGGCTGGGTAACCAGTACCATGCCCGGCTACCTTTGTCTCCCTAGTGGCGATGTTTACACACCGCACCAGGTACTAATTTTGAGGCCGAGCCGACCTAGGGAAAGGCCCAGAAGCAATCATTGTCACTGGTGTTGGCAGTGTGCGGGAATTGAATTGCGGTCGCCGAGTTCGTAGCGCACTCCCTTATTCAACAACCACCACTATTCACACAGCACCTCCTGAGGCCATGGTGAAGCTCCAGCACTCACGTGTGGGAAAAAAATTCGAATCATTGTTTGGGCTGCTGTCTCTTAAGAGGCACACACATTTACCAGTAGATCCACCGTAAATTACATCAATACTTTAGTGCTTTTAAAATGCATAAAAAGGGCTTTAACACCTCTCCTCACAGTATGCAATGTATGTTGATGTTGAACAACAGATGTAATATATTTAAGTAAACCCTGCAATGTACATGAATAAAATGTTTCACTCACTATTGGAGTGTTGTGAATTTAAATTCCAGTCGGGGTTCAACTCAGCTCTTCATTCCTCTGGGGTCAACAAAATGAGAACTAGTGGAAACTAAATCTATCAAGTGAGTGGCCTCCACCACAAGTGTGGAATTTCTATCATACTGCCTCATGAGCAACATCCCACACTTATTTGGGTGAGGAGACAAATATTTTCTTGACTATAACATTTCCCAAAAGGATAAAGTCTAACACTATTTAACTGTACACTGTCCACCTCAAGATTGAATTCTTCAGAGGGCACAAACGCAGGACAAATATCCACAGCATTGTCAGAAAACAGTATGTGAAATGAAGCACTTTGACAGTAGCTACCATTAGTAAAGTATATTTTCATGTCAGCCCGATTTAAATAACAAGTGTGAGTACTCTGGAAAAGCCTGCATATTAAACATTCAGTTTTTCCATAGCCACACTCAGTGGTCTTTTCCCATTGAACAGTATGCATTGTTTCCAGAAATCTGACTGCATTATCACAGCTGTGTTTGAACTAATGTGTTCGTCCAGAATAAACATGTAAACTTATTTTTTTAAACAGTGCTTAATTAGAATGTTAAAATATTTTTTTTATCAGTGCCCAACTTATTACAGACCAAATCAGACCTCGTCACCCCGTGCCCTTATAAATCTCAACGTTCATCCTACAAAATCCCATCACAAGGGAGAAACACAAAGACAAAAAATGTGTTTTGCCCGTAGTGAAACGGCTAGACAGCGTACTGACCTGAAAACTAAATTTCCCTGTACAAGTATACGGCGTAAACGGTGTGGGTAGACAGGTATGAAAATGCAACAAGAACAGACTCTGGAGATCACAATGTCAACAGTGCAACAGAGGTAGAAGCTGGCAGCAGCAAGTATGCGATGGTCAAGTGTCACACCATTAATTTCATACACAATGACTGAAATACCCAGCCAGGACACGTTAATGAACGGTAGTAGCATTCGCATACCTGGCTCCTTGATTTTGATGCACGGTACAATAGGAGTCACGGGTTCATTTTCCTGAGACTCTTCATCGCTTGAGGCAGGAACTATGGGAACAAACATTCAAGGTTAATGGGCATAAACAAATAGTACAATGAAATTCAGAAATTCCTTTTCAACATCTACAAGGTTTGCATACATGTTTTTGTACATGTGTAGTAACTAACTCGGAGACGATAAGACTTAGAGGCACTTCTTTATTAATGAGCACCATCGGGGTTAACACACTTAATATTTAGTCCGTCTATTATTGGCGACGTTACTCAGCCAGCGGGACAGTTGGTAGGCTGCCTCACTAGTGGCGCCCCGAGATGGTAGAGACGGAGACGACGACGAGAAGAATGGTGAAGACAATGAGAAGAATGGTAAAGATGATGAGAAGAATGGCGACGATGGACTTCAGCAGCATGAGGTCCCCCACATGGGCCCCTTTTATACTGTCAGCGTTGCTTCGCTCGGCCCCGGCCACGCCCCCTTTCTGGAACCAACTAGCAGGTTCCTGGTGGACCCCTTCTGTGACCTTTTCCCCGAGATCCACCTCTCGTGTATATCCTGGCCTACTGACATCAGGCCTGCCGCACGCCACAGATCCCCTTTTCTGCCAGCAGCGAGCGCTATGCCACTACAAATGTGTAGTGACTCAACTCAGAAACAGTAATACTTTGAGGCACTTCTTTAATTTAACGAGCACCATCGGGATAATACACACCCTACGTGGGTGCACACTATTATAATTAAGACCGTCTATTGTCGGTGGCACTACTTAGTTAGAACAGTTGGTAGGCTGACTACGGCACCCCGGGATGGTGAAGACGGAGACTACGACGAGGAGATGGTGACGACGACGAGATGGTAACGACGACGATCTTGAACAGCACGACGGGGATCCCTCTTCCAGCAACAGCCCCAACATCCCGCTCAGGGACCCCTCTTATACTCCCAGCGTGGCCTTGCTCCGCCTCGGCCACGGCCCCTTTCCCGAATCTACTAGCGGGTTCCCGGGGTTTCCCGATGGGCCCCTTCTGTGAACTTTCCCCTAAATGTCCCCCTCTCGTATATATCGTGGCCTGCTGATGTGAGGACTGCCATAAACCGCAGCTACCCTTTTCTGCGGAAGCCAGCGCTATACCACTAAACATGTTAATGTTTTTCCAACAAACTTCTAAAATAGTTACACCAAATAAAAATGCTGAATAACTGCAACACATTATCCAGAACTACCACTGACAACAGTAACGGAATACTGTGGGAGCGAACACAAGACAGGTGCCCACCTTGAGGCACGGTAACAAACGGCCGGCACGCGGAGCAGTCGAAGCCTTGGTCTGCAGCCTCCTCCACCGCATCTTCCAAGAGCAGGTTCTCACAGCTGGCATGTACCCACCTGCACACAGCACACAGCCAGCTCAGCCAGTCCCAACCTAGGCCACCAGCTTCAAGTGGGCACAGCACACAAGGAGAACTCCTCAACCAGTGGTGATGTTACATCTGTGAGAGCAACACACTTTAAAGAGAGAGTGTTTTTTTTGTTTCAGTTGACTTCCAAGCAGGATTTTAAGCGGAAACATTTTGATTGTGAATAGAGAACTCTGCCACAGCCCCATCCAACCCGAATAAGCCAATATTAAAAAAATGACAACAGAACATAGATTTTTTAAAATTAACATCTATACAAATGCCTGGGATTCTTAGAAACTACGATGTATGATCAAATATTAATAAAATAAAGCTTAGTCATATTTGTATCCTGCAGTTGTGAGATACTGAAAAGATAATGTGCTGCCGTGAAGTTGTGGTGATAACATTTTTTGGGCCTCTCCTCATTACTACTCTGAATGCAAATGCAATCATTCAACTCGCGAAGGCACAATGACCTAAGTAATTTGGCCTGGCTTACAAGGGAACATGTTTTCACCCCAGTCCCCAGTAGCTCACTTTTAGACTTCCTTTGCTTCCTCTCCTCTGTTAAGAATGTGTCAGAGGATGATGAAGTGAGATCAATGAAACTCAATTGTTCAGCTGAGCTTTACATATATCACAATAGCTGTAACATAGACCTCACCTCTCCCATTGTGAAAGATGGACTTTAAAGATGTTTTGCTTCAAAGCTATTCAGAAGACAAATGGTTTTCTGTATTGCTTGTATGTGAATCAAAGTTTGAAAGGGCTTCTGGTTTAATGGAGTTGAATTTATAACTTGGACACAGGTTATATTTTACATGGTTGTTGTGTTTCATGATAATCCTGCTTCCTCATGTTGTGTTATTTTACAATGCCTACAAAGTTTCAAGGTTTCGTTAGTTATTGTTCTCTATAACTAGAGTGTTCACTCGTAGCTGACCATTCCCAATGCATAACGTACTGTAATGCAATGTAAGCGACACTTGTATGGATTCTGTCACCTCCCTGAGACCAAACATGTCAATCTGACATGGCTTATTCAAGTGTAGTGACTGTACTCGTCACTGTATGGTGCCGGGGCTTGCAAAGTCACGGCCGGTAATGTTGCCATTGCGGGCAGCCCGGGTTGCGGGATGCAGTACCAACACTAGCGGTGGTTGGGTGAACGCTGGTTAGTGCGGAGGCACCGCGAGCAGTGTGTAGTGCCGGCTCCAAGTGAGGGAGCGAGAGCGAGTGTCAGCCAGCCAGGGTTACTCTGGGGCATGACACTCTGGCTGAACTGTTGTCACATGACCGGACAGGAGGGGGACCACCGGTGGACGGGGGCCGAGGGGCGGTCACATGGTCCCGAGGGACTCTCGGGAACATTCGAGAAGGAGCTCGAGAAGTCTGGAAGGTGGGCGGGGCTAAGGGCGGAGCCAGCCCCAGCACCAGGGGCATATAACGAGAGCTCCGTGAGGAGCTCGGGGTTCTTCAAGTGTTGAAAGATCCACATCGGGGAGAAGAAGCCTCTAGCCACGCGGTCCGGGACCAAGCTTGCGGTCCGGACAGGGATAGCGAACCGTGTCTAGTTCTGCCGTAGCGTGGTTAGATGGGCATTCGAGACCCGAGTGTAGAGTGTGTTGTGTTAATGCGGAATAGTGTTGCTCCTAAGATAACGTCTGCGACTCAGTTGGACTCACTACACAAGTACGGAAGTGTTTTTCTAGGCATGCTTGATCCTGACATGTTATTTCAATCAGTCATAGCTCATACGGTTACAGCGCCTTGTGGAAATGTAACTTTTCATTGCACCATTGTTTCAGGCATGTCTTATTAATTCGTTGTAAGCATTATCGCCATGGCATGCCAGTCTTTCACTATTTCTGCTTACATTATCTAACAAAGCATGTCTGGTCGAGACACATGTTAATCCGTTACATGCCTCTCGTACGTGCAGTATTTTTGCTGTTTTTTTCATTGCGTTTGGTTGCGATGTGTTATTTGGAAGTGTTTATTGCACCTTACAATGATTATTTATTACTATTGTTTGTTGTTGCATGGATTGACAGTAGCATCTACCGGCATCTACTGACTCTACAGTAGCAACTACCGACTCTACAGTGGCATCTACCGACTCTACAGTGGCATCTACCGACTCTACAGTGGCATCTACCGACTCTACAGTAGCATCTACTGACTCTACAGTGGTATCTACTGACTCTACAGTGGCATCTACTGACTCTACAGTAGCATCTACTGACTCTACAGTGGCATCTACTGACTCTACAGTAGCATCTACTGACTCTACAGTAGCATCTACCGACTCTACAGTAGCATCTACCGATCCTAGATTTGAAGCTTTCGTGACTGCAAGGATCCATACTCCGTACATTTCTAACGCTGTCTTCGTGACAGCAGGGTCCCTTCACCTGATGAAGGCCACTTGTGTTGTGGCCGAAACGTCGTGATATTTGTTGTTTTATTTTTTACCTACGTGACTTTACCAAACAGAACCAAAGAGTAAGCATCTACCGACTCTACAGTAGTATCTACCGACTCTACAGTGGCATCTACTGACTCTACAGTAGTATCTACTGACTCTACAGTAGCATCTACTGACTCTACAGTAGCATCTACTGACTCTACAGTAGTATCTACTGACTCCACAGTAGCAACTACCGACTCTACAGTAGTATCTACCGACTCTACAGTAGCATCTACCGATTCTAGATTTGAAGCTTTCGTGACTGCAAGGATCCATACTCCATACATTTCCAACGCTGTCTTCGTGACAGCACGGTCCCTTCACCTGATGAAGGCCACTTGTGTTGTGGCCGAAACGTCGTGATTTTTGTTGGTTTTTTTTACCTACGTGACTTTACCGAACAGAACCAAAGAGTAAGCATCTACCGACTCTACAGTAGTATCTACTGACTCTACAGTGGCATCTACTGACTCTACAGTGGCATCTACTGACTCTACAGTAGCATCTACTGACTCTACAGTAGCATCTCCCGATTCTACAGTGGCATCTACCGACTCTACAGTGGCATCTACCGACTCTACATTAGCATCTACCGACTCTACAGTGGTATCTACTGACTCTACACTAGTATCTATCGACTCTACAATAGTATCTACTGACTCGACAGTGGCATCTACCGACTCTACAGTAGCATCTACCGACTCTACAATAGTATCTACTGACTCTACAATCGTATCTACTGACTCTACAGTAGCATCTACCGACTCTACAGTGGCATCTACTGACTCTACAGTAGTATCTACTGACTACAGTAGCATCTACTGACTCTACAGTAGCATCTACCGACTCTATAGTAGTATCTACTGACTCTACAGTAGCATCTACCGACTCTACAGTAGCATCTACTGACTCTACAGTAGCATCTACCAACTCTACAGTCGCAACTACTAACTATAGTATTATCTACGGAATCTATAGTAATATCTACTGATGATATCATCGCATCGACTCTATAGTAATAACGGCACGCATTGGGGTGGGGGGGGGACGTCACACTTTTCAGGATTTACTTCAGCGTGTGGTTGTGCAGCAGTAATTGTGCTTGATTTTCTTTCTTTTGGCATTTTTTACGCGAAGGAGAGCCTCCATCCCCTCCCCACTCAGCAAGCTTGTTGGCATAGCTAGGAGCAACCGCGAGTCGTCGGCGTTTCCGCGCATGCGCAGATGCTACTTTGGCGCTCAAAGTTATCATGACGATCAGAGTACATTGTTACAAATTGTGATTTTTCTTAGCTTACATTGGGCCAAGGTAAAAACAAATAGGGAGTTTTCATGGGGAGGGGGGGGGGGCTTAGTTTGCTGTATCTGCGTACTTTTGTAGTGTAATAACGCCGGCTGGTACTGGCAGCAGGGGGCAGTACACACATCAGCAGGAGATCGAAGGAGAAGCCCAGGAAGCGGTCGATCTGGAAGCCCGAGAACCTGCTAGTAGGTTCTAGAAAAGGGGACGTGGCAAGGGCGGGGTAAGGCCACGCCAGGAGGATAAGAGGGGGCCGGGGACAGGGGCTCGGGGCTGTTGCTGGAAGTGGATCCCCTCGCTGTTCGTCACCTTTGTCACCGCCGTCTCGACCATCTTAGACGCCGCTGGCCAGACAGCCTGCCAACTGTCCTAGCCAGAAAGGGCCGTCGAAAGAGACGGATGTGTGAATAACGTGTAAGCACGTGGGGTGCTTGTAGTTCCCCAACGTTGAGAATAAAGGTGCCTTAAGAACCCTGTCTCCGAATGAGTCACTACACTTTGTTGAAACGTAAACCCAACAGTTTGTCAGTTAAAAGCTTAGAAGGATAGGCGTCCACACACACACAGACAAAATTGACTTTTATAGGTGAGATAACACTCCACTAAACTGAAAGTTATATGATATCACGAGCATGAAGGCAATTTTTTTCCAGACTGTCTTCCAAGTGCCCCCCCCCCCCCCAAGGCCTGGACTCCAACCTTACCTCTCGCACTGGCGACACTGGATAACGAGCTCATTGTCCTGGTACGCCTCGCTGCAGCTGGGGCACGCGAGCAGGCTGGCACATGGCCCGCACTGCGTGTAGTTGCTCTGCCAATCGCACTTGAAGCCCGGCGATGTGGCTCCACAGTTTACACAATTCACACACCTGTGTTAGAGAAGGGTCATGATATACAGCAGCAAGTGTAAGTTGATGGAGGCAAAAACAGTGCATCCCGCTTCCTTAGACACCAGATACTGCTCACTGATTGCTTAGATGAGAGAGGGGCGGTGCTCATTTCTGCTTTGTGAAACCATGCCAGCTGTGGGTATTCTATATTAACATGGCATGGGCCAGTATCATAAAAGGATAACCATAATTGACTTTCATTCGTGGTGTTTTACAGCTGGAGTGCAGATTTGGTTAGAGCGTTAAACTGACAATCGTACGGTTGTAAATTCAACTATAAATTGGAAATTTACTCAGCCCATCATCACACGAGGGTCGATGAAGTGTATATCACTTTGTGGGAAGTCGACAGGCAACTCTACATAGACACTCCCATTCCATAGGAATGCAGAATTTCAACACTATCCCAGGACCGCCAACTGAAACGAGGAATGCCCAATTATTATTTTGAACAGGATGACACTTTCACTTAACTTCTGATGGTTTTATTTATCAACTTAGTTACATTTAATTATTACCAATGTTGCCATGGTGCACATTATATCGAGGCGTGCACTTACCACTTGCATTTCCAGCCACCTTTGGGCACGGTGTGCAGTGGCGGCTCCAAGCAGTACGTGTGGTAGCTGATGTCGCAGTCGTCACAGAGCAGGAGGCGGCCGGGGTCAGAGGCTTTGCCACAGAGCTCACACACAGTGCACTCCAGGCAGCGCCAGCCCTTGCTCAGCACCACCTTTGTTATCTGTGCAGAGATGCATGCAGTTTAGGATTCTTAATATATGCACACTACACACAGCTGAGAATAAAAAATAAAACACTCCAGCCGCAATCTTGATTAACAATTGATTTTTAAAAGGATAACATAAAAGTCACATCTGGCCAGTTGGTGCTGCAGCAGTGAAACTTTCACTTTGACTTGTGATAACAATACATTAGCTGAAAAGACTCTACCACAAGAATGTGTTTTTTTTTGTTTATCGAAGGCTAAGTACGTACACACCTTGACTGGACTATGCAAGTTAACATTTCTGGCACCAAATGATCATCAGCGCAGTGGCCCCCTTTGAGAAATGCCATTTACTCAAACGTTGTTTATTATACTACATAGTGGTAATGATAACAGTGATGGCAGAAGTGCCATTACATAAGACAGTCCTTAAGTTTTAAAAGAGTATTGCACAACTTTATAGGCATGGAGCATTAGTTCCATAAATTGACAATCCATAGTTGAAGTTAAAGCATGCCTGTGTTATTTTCTACACATGACATAACCGCACATTCATATACATAAAATTGCTGTAAACATCTCCTGCTGATTGTATGGACACTGTTTAGGTCCTTACATGTCAAAAAAATTGGCAGTTCTTGGAAATGTGACAAACGGCAATATTAGCAATGAACAGACCTAGAAGGCCAGAGATCTTGTTGCAGTACTGAATCTGATGCGAGTGCTCATTCTCTAATGCCCCACTGTGACAGTGGAGCATATCTAGAGACCCTTTGGAGCTAAAAGAAGACCAGACAACCATGTGCCTAACACTTGCTAGCTTCACTCAGGTTTGGCGCACAATAGGTTTGGTTGTCGGACTTATTGATACAATGAGGTCAAGTTGCAAAACACCAAATGTGGTCAAAACAAGACAAGTGCAAATATCAATAATTCTTAAACGCACACAAAATGCACACAAACATTATTATAAATTCAGGAAAATATTTAGACGTAAAAATACCGACATGAATCCCCTGCAACGCAAAAGCGAGTGCCAGTGGGAAATGTAACTACCACGATCTATCCGTAAGAGTATTTGTAAACATTCTCTGCTGTTGAACATGTAGCTCGTATGGGCGGGAGGAAAAATGCATGTAATTAAGATAATACTTTAACGTTAATTAATAAACAAAACAACCACTTGAATCCCATGTGAAGCAGATGTGAGTATCAGACGGAAAAAACTGAATGACTATGAATGTGGATGGTGACATGTAATGTCAGAAAAAAACACTTGACATGATGTAAAGCAGTGATGGGCAATCTAGATTAGTTAATGGGCCATGTGAGTAGCCCTCCTTCACCTCATTGGGCCGCAAACTTGAAACCGTGCTTGTGCACTAATCATGACCCCCACGCATCACCCGAGAGATACTTAGACCAGACTACCATGAGGGGCTCCACGGGCCACAGGTTCCCCACCACTATGTAGACTGTCCACCGTATGAAATTCTCATAGCAATTTAAACTCAGCCCATCATATCTCCGGGATAGATAAAAGGAGTACCACTTTGTTGAGTCAACAGTGGTTGTACTATGGATACTCGTTCTTGCCATAACATCCTGGAATGTCCACCACTTCCTCAGGGCTGTACACAGGAGATGAGCACTGCCTCAATACTCATTTGATCAGTAAATCACTGACTTTTCAATACATGAATCCCTCTTGTTTTAACACATCATAGCCTCTGATGAACATGCAAGTATGAACTTACTTTAACACTGACACAGTAAGGATGGTAACACTGTCCGCACTGTGAGCAGGCAAGTAGGCGACCCTCAGCTCCCAATCCAAAGCTTCCACATACAACACACATGTCCTGTGCACACACACACACAGCAAGTGCAGATCAATCAACATTGGCAGAGGGCAAGATTAAATGTACTGCGATCATGCTTATTCACTTATTAAAACAACTCCTCCAAGAACACAACTGTACAGAATATTTTAAAACATTTAACAAATGCAGAATATCAACAAATTTAAATGGTACATTGCAATTATAAGACAATTTCACATATATGTGAAATCCATATTAATACAACTTAAACATATTTTAAAAACATTAAATTTGGATTAATAGCGATTTCACATACATGAATAATAGTACAACTTAAATAAATTGAATTAGTATTACTACCTTTAAATCAAATCAACTGTCACTGTCTTAGAGGTAACCTTCAAGAGGTTGTGTGACAGTCCCCAGAGTTCAGAGTTCAATGTGTATATATTAAGTCGGTAGACTAATTTCACAAATCAGCTACATTGAATTAGTCTAAATTACTTTAGAGACATTATTTGCCTGTAAACCCCAGACTTAGGGTTCAAAGTGTATAGTTTTGGTCAGGAGGGTAATTTAACTAGCCCATGCAATTACATTAATATCAATTAAGTTATAGATATAACTGACTGATAATAAGAATAAGTGTAGATGGGCAGGACATGTCGTGAGATGGAATAATGACCAGTGTTTGAGACGAATAAAATTTTTATATTTTCTGTGTAAGTAACATGACAAGCAGTGTACAATTTAGTCCGAGTCACTTACTATCACCATGAAGCAGAGGTAGAAGGATCATTAACGAACCCAAGGAACAGACCAATTCTCATGCAATTGAGGGGTTTGTTTTTGTGAAACGCAAATTTGAAATAAGTACATAAACGAACATGAGAGCACTAGCAAAACACGTATACTCTATAAACGTGGTGTTTAGGTGCATGGGTTCACCTAGATGGGTATATGTTGTATATAGTTTGAGAATTGCTCATCCATTTAGGCATGTAATGGACTACAATAGTCGGGGGGCAGCATCTTACACTGTCTAGTCATAATAAGCACATATAATGTGTGCTCTTACAGTGGTCTGGTCAGTCGTTCTGGTGTCTTTGTAAATGTTTAGTTATTTATTTTGGTAGCCTTTCTGGTTTACCCAGAATTCCATCTGCAAGTGGTTGTACTGAATATATAGTTTTGAACAATTGTCAACATAGAAATTAAAAAAACCAATACCAAAATAGCTTACTTTGAACATGCACAACTAGGCTGCATGTCCTGGACTGTTGCACATGAATATGAAACTTCGTTAATATGAAAAAGACAACATTAAGTCATTCAGAGGACAAACAACATAGTAGCACTCTTTAAAGCGTCTATCTTGCGTGCAAGGTGCATGGTTGGAGCTCCCCGGTCACACGAAGCCAAAGCACAGGTCGGTGACAGCCAGGGCCATTTTGAACCTGGAACGGTGGTCCTCAGTCTGAGGCAATTGGACATGATTCCAAAGGTAAATCAATCGTTTTTTTTAGTTGACAGATTTAAACTGCACCATTACTTTGGTGAAATAAAATTAAACGAAATATTGGATTGTTACTTCATTTACGCTTTGAGGATGACTTGTGAGCAACTTGTACCGTTTGGGCCAATAAACAAAGTTAAAATTTGAGAATATGCAGTGCAGTCCACCTGCAAGAGAGTGTACTTGTCTTCTTTCGAGAAGAGCACCAGGGTATTATGCATCGTGTTCTCCTCCTCATCCTCTTTGGTTGGCGATTCTTCTGGCACTGGCAGCTGTCGGGTACAAAGCAATGTAAGAGAGGAAGTTAATGTCCTAATCGTTGAAGAGAGGCTGTTCTGAAGCCGAGAATGCATTTCGTCACAGCCATGTGAAAGTTACACTACTAGCTCGGCTGAAAACAGATGAGCGCCACCTCATCGCTTAGTTGAAATGGGAGACACTGACTCTGATCTATATGACCGATTCACTGCAGAGTTCGCAAATAACAGATTAAACTATGGGGAAAACTGCTACACAAACACACTCTTCCCAGTAAAAAGTAATGCCAGAATGGAGTCAGTGGCTTGATAAGTAAATTGATAGATATACATAAGGCAGGCAAAACATAAATGCCCGACAGCTTTAAAAAAAAATAGTCATAATTTTATACCAGTTGCTCAGCAACAGATAATGGTGTCATTAAATATTCATTAAATTACTGGTCAGCAGCAACACCTGCATCCAATATCTTTGTGGTCACATTAATGAGCCTCCACTGTAAGGGGTTGCTAAACATGATCAGTATTTTGAAATGTACGTAAATGAATATTTTCCCATCTCTTTCACCCCTGAATAAATTGTTGATCCTGGGAGAGGTTTGATCAACCCTGTAGTGCTTTCAGAAAAAGGTAAAAGTGGTTCCCCACTCATCACCTTCCATAGCATGCACTGTGTACCACATGTCAAATACTGATCATCCCAATGGCCTATCTAGCAGAATAGCACTGTGGAAGAGATGAGATTTGTTCTTCATCGAACCTATTTTTCATAATAGCTGTCAACATTGCTCACCATCCTGAACACCATCCAGAGCCACACACGCCACCAGAAATGTATAAAAATATTTTATGGCACTTGTGTGCGTGAGGTAAGCCCGGATGAGCGAATGGCAGCATGATATCCATCCATGTGACTGCATCTGATGACGTCAGTATCATTATTAACAAAGCCAAGCAAAAAGGCATCATTAAATAAAGATAAAACGAAGCAACTTTACTCCTTGAGCACAATGACAACTCGGTCACCCCTCAATGATGACTCGACTGATCGAAACCACAACTTCCTTCATAAAGGTTTATTTTATTAGAGAAGGGCGGGGAGAGAATGTACTGATGATTGCCTACAAAACCCAAGTTTAGCTAAGAACCTAGTTTTTTCATGGTAAGCGGTTAGCACTTTCCTCATCATCTTCAACCACTAACAACAAAAGCTCCCCAGAAGGTGGGTAGTGAACAATAAAAACCTAACTTTTTCACTGCTGAAAATCCATACGCCCAAGGTCTCTCCGAGCCAGAGAATTGAGGTGGTGATGTCTCATGATATACATTTAGAAGACCATGTTTGCCACGTTCCAAATCTCTTGCAAGGAGACCTTTTGTGTGGCTCACTAACCAAACAGCTACGGTACTTGCGGAGTGGGCATCACAGCTTGTCTGATAATACTTTGATGCCTATTCAAAGGCTAATATCGGATTCAGAGAAGCATCAAGCCCAAATTATTTATTCAGAAGCAGCCTCCTGCTTCTAATGTGTGCAGAACAAGACAAATAGCTGTTCTGATTCTGTTACTTGTATGATTTTCAACTATCTTAATTGAAATGATTAGGACAGCAGGAAGGGAACACATTTCTGGTTCACAAATGGTTGAACCTCCAGTAAAGTTCACAGTATTGCTCTGCTCTTGGGAAAACGTGACACTCCTGGATGACATTATAGCAACCAGGAAGACCGTTTTATAGTGAGAAACTTCACATGTAAAATCGCAGCGCCAACAAATAACTCCGAGGATCAAATGAAGATCTATGGAGCTATCTCAGGGCCCATAGGCTTCAGAAGGCATGAAATCAACCTGGATCTCTCTATTGGTGCCCCATTGACCTAAATTTCCAAAATGACTGTTACAACAAGTTTTAAGGATAAAGGACACAGACCTTTCTTGCATTTTCCTACAAACAAGCATAGCAAATCTAGTCAGTCTGCACCAAATCACAAATGTGCACCAGTAACTGCTACATAGACTGTATCCTGGACCGCAACAACGAATACACGCAGAGTTTAATCCAAAATTGTGAATAACCTATTCTTATACATTTCCAAGACAGTAAGCCGAGTTTACCTGGGTTATGGAAAACAATGCATTTTTTTCTGGGAGAGGAGGTTGTGGTGATCCGACAGGATCTACAGACGTTGTGTCTGGAGCATCATATCATGATGCCCGTGGGCCACAATCGATGTGCCCACTGAGGGGGTGGATAAGGTTCAGCTCAACTCTTTCTTCCCTTTGGCCAAAACTTTTTCTATCAGTAACACTGAAGTATAGCACAGCTCCACTCCTGACTGTAACCTAAGACGAAACCCACATCCTCTACTACACTGGAGTCTCCGAGCTCTGTTGGCTTTGTATCCTCTTTAAAATTGTCACCACCCTCACCAGCTTATTCTTTGGGTCTTTCGGTAAAGTCACGTAGATAGAAAACATTATAACTATAAAATAATAAAAATGAAAATAAAGTGAATGAAAAGAATTAAAAAAAATATTTCACGTTTCGATCGCAACACAAGCAATCGTCATTAGGAGAAAACAAACCCACTAGCTATCAGCAAAGATTCGTTCATGAAGCCATCCAGATATATAGAGACACAATTTCAACCGATAAGATGGTTACAAACTGAGTAATCATTGGAAGTACGTTATTAATCAGTTTAAGTCATAACTGGCTGTGATGTTTCCATCCTACCTTCCGATGTTGGCAGTTGTTTTCGAACAGGTTAAATGTCTCACACTTACACAACCGCCGTTGCTCGTGTCCTCGATGTGACGGCGGCGCTGCGATTTTACATTGACATGCTAACATCACTAGCCCCTTGAGCTACACCCATTCAAACCTTTAAAACAGCCTACCTGAGCAGCTTTCCCCCTCTTTTCTCCTGATGACGAATGCTTGTGTTGCGATCGAAACGTCGTGATATTTCTATTATTATTCATTCACTTATTATTTTATTATTTTTTCTATACGTGATTTTACCAAAAGACCCAAAGAATATGAATTCCTGCAGTCACGAAAGCTTTTAAGTCAAGATCCCCACCAGCTTCTTTATCAAAAGTTTTTTTTCTTCCTCAAAGAACAAATTCCGCCTGTTGGTCAAGCCAGCAAGATGCGCCACACGCCAACTCCTTATACAATATACCAAGCCTTGGGTATTTATTTCAACATGCATGGTAACATAAAGGTATTGGCGCAGCAAGCAGAGGGGTCGTACTCACTCCGGGCACGATGATGGGGCTGCAGCTCGTCTTGATGCGCGAGCGACCCCGACCACCCCTCCCCGAACTCCCGGCACCACGAGGCCGCCGCTTACCCGGAAATCCACCTCCACGGCCCTGCATGGCGAGGACACATGCATCAGCAGCCTGTATGACATGGACCCATCGGAGTGCGTATGTTACTTTCAGAACACGGATAGCACAGTCAGACGATTCAAGTCAAAAAGATTCCTTACTCAAATGAGCACGAGTTGGTGCTTATCTCCTGTTTACAGCCCTGAGCCAGGAATGTGGAAGTTCCACATTAGAATGGCAGGGGTGAGAATATCCCCAGGACAACCACGATTGACTTCCTCACAAAGTAGTAGTACTTCAACTTCAGATTGGGGATCACCTGACCTTCCAAAGTATAAAACAATAACTTAAAACCTACCTGTTCGACCGAGCTTTCACGGAATTTTTTTTTAATTAATGCTTGGATGACAACCGATCTACATGATTTCATTTGTTTTATGGAAGCCAATTTTATGTACAAGGGGCTTGGTTTTAAGAAAAGCAATTTAAATAAATATTTAAAGATTTCTTTTATTTGACCCCAAAGAGATTATCTGTTGAGTTCAACCCAACCAAAATTTGCCAAGCTGCTCAGTCTACTACTGAGCCACCTGGCCAGTCTCTCTTGCAAATGAGACTACCCTGGTCCCTGGAGTTCTCACCTGGTTAAACAAAGTGAACATGAACTTTATTCAACAATTACTAACTGTATAAATCATTATATGACCGTTTCAATTGGCCAGCGGTCCATAAATGTTGTAGATAATGCTTTTTTTCTTGGAAAAAGCAACATGTAATGTTTTAATTAGATTAAGTCCTTCCATAGTGAGCAGCGCTTTAGCCTTTATGAGAATGCCACAAAATTGATGACGCCTCAAAATTACTTCTCCAAGTCCCTCCAACAGTCCTCTTTCCCCCCCCCATACTCAACGGCACAGCTTTATTATAGCCCCATGCAGTGTCTGATTTTAAGGCAATCGCACCGATCCTTAGCTTTCATGAGTTTCCTGCAAAATCTTATGATTCTACTTTTTTCCTTAAGAGCTGGAATTAGCAATTTAAGCTAACTTCCTTCGTATAATCATATTTTGTGTCTGGAGAGAGACCATCAATCTGCTGCAACTTGGTACAACTTGCAACTGGACCTAGATAATCCTCAGGTAGCTCAATCCCATATGAGAACCCTTAATCGCAGCAGTGCTGACTCAGTGCTTCAACATGGACATTAGCCCCCTGGACCACCCAGCCAAATGTATTGGTTTATTAATGTCAGCATTTTGAAATATGGCTCAAAGGCAAGCTTCCTGATTTTGTAAAGCGTGTTTATCTCGTGCAATGTGTGTTGAGTGATTGATGCTGCCTTATTATTCCAGCTTAAAAAACAATATATATTCTGAAATACAGAATTGTGACAAACCTCTTGTTGAACTTTTATTGCAGTAGGTTTTAATTTCAAATGACAACTTCTGAATCTTTCTGCTGACAGGTTGTTAAGAAAGGTCTTTGGTGGTGAGTAGCATGGGATCGAAAAGAGCTCTGAAAACATTTGCTATCCTCCAAGTTCAATGTAACAGAACATTCGAATTTACATGACACTTAATTTTACAAAGAAAACTATATTTTTGCACCTAATGTAAAATATTTCTGAAATGTGAAGAAAAACACGCAGTCACGAAAAGAATATCGGACAAATTCTGAAATTTGTTTAAATAAATAACAAGCATAACAGTTATGAACGAAGATTCCTTATCCAAGAAAGCCTGAATAAGTTTGAACACTTTTAAAGAGGGTTCTGCTTAAGGATGGTGGACACTTTTATGTGTGTATGTGGGGCACCATTTGAGTATCTGGCAGATACATGGAAGGATAACACTCAACAATCCACGCAAGTCATTCATCCATTTGTGGCACTGCCATCTCCTTGCTACTTTGAACCCCAGAAAGTTAAAAGTTTCACAACACATTATAATATCTGTATGATCCACTAACCCTGCCTCCATAGCCCTGGCAAACAGGTATGGGCCCCAGCACTCTCTGATCAACCAAACACAGACATCACCTTACACATAACATTTTGCCCAGTCAGTGTTGTGGTTAGCTTACTTAATGGCCTGTTTCATTTCTCTATGTCACAGCTTATCACCTCCACAATCCATAAAATAAGTACAGTCGTACTTGCGAGACATCAATGATGGTTGTCCTGTTGTGAAAAACTTGAATTTGCACCACTAGCTCGGCACAGAAAATTATCTCGCCCCAAATGCTCATTTAAGCTTGGTTTCTTATTTGGCCAACTACTTTCAACATGACATATTTGGCAATTTGGGCAAATGCAAATGTACATAGTGTAGCGCACACAACACCCACCTGCCGGACCCTGGGCCTTCCTGGGGAGAATCTACGCTTGCCCATCATGGGTTTGCCCATGCCATGCGTGGGCGGCGTGAGCGCGGCCGCGTAGTAAGGCACATCCGAGCTGCAAGAGTCGAGGAAGAACTCGGGGCTCAAGGAATCTTCTTCCAGCGTCAGGCTTGGATCAGAGAGCATGGAGAAGTCCTGCCCTTCTGTTGCAAAGCTGGAATCCGCCATCATAGGCGAGTCAAAGCCGGCGCACCTGCTGCCATCCACCAGATCCGAGAACCCGTCCGGATCCACCTGCACATTCTCTGGCTTGGATTTAGGCTTCAGTTCATGTGCAGGAGGAGTGCCAACATTTAATGAGGACATCTGCTCTCCATCAATTTTGAGGGCCCCAACATCCGGTGCCGTTGGTTCCTCGGTCTCCATGTTCACATCGACCATGTTGGGAGGACTGGCTGCATTGACAGAAAGTTTGGCTGTTTGGACAGCTTCTGTTTTTGACAGAAGCAGCTTGTCCGTTTCAGTGTAACTTTCTGTGGCGGGTTGATCGCAGTAATCCTTCTCCAGTTTAATGCCATCCTTTAAGCAATATGGGTCTGCATGCCCGTCTGGTTCAGCAGTTGGAATTGGCTGAGAATCCGGTGCCGCAACATCCACCTCCATGGGCTGTGGCATCTCTTGCTGGGTCTCCACGATATTGTCCTCTACACTCTGTACGGGAACTTCTTGATCTGTACTGTCATCCTGCTGAGGCTCTTCTGCCATGTTCACCTCCAAAACATCTTTCGCTTTCTCCATCAGAGATTCTTCATCCGTCTTAACTTCCGCAGGACACTCGGCATTCACTGCCGAGTGCTCTGCACGAGGCTCATTCTCTGCAGGGGGTTTCTCATCTTTGCAGGATTCCCGCAAAGAGTGTTTCTCTACCTTCGCTTGCGGAGGTTCTTTTTCCTCGGGTTTGCTTCCGCTGCCCGGTAATGATGGGTCTGAGGGGGGGTTCAATTTCTGTGTGTCTTCTGGAGTCGACAGTGCTTCTGCTGGGAGGGCATGCTCCACAGGCTGGGCTGGATGCTCATCTGGACACGGCTGCTCATCTGGACATGGCTGCTGATCCGGACACGGCTCCTCATCTAATCGGAGCCTCTCCAACACAGACTCGTTATGCTTAGTTCCATCGTTATTGTGTGAGGCGGCATTTGACTCCGGATTAGCCTGGTTCTCTGGGGTAGTCCTGGTGTTGACCTGCTCCCTTTCCTGTGGCTTTGCAGAACCCCGAGTGGAGACATCCTTCCGTTCCTTTTCTGCACTCTGCTCTGTAACTTCAGAGGGATCCGCTTTAGACGAGACGTCCAGATCAACGGCTCCTGTTTAAAGATACAGCGCACGCAAATACAATCCTTTCATGCACATTTCTTTACGGAAAATAGGATTACAATTTTTTATATGTTCCTATGTTATAAGCACATATGCCTATCATACAAGTATCTTAACAATACAAGGTGACGCAATTTTATGTTTTCAAGCAGAGGTTAAAATTAGTTATTAATAATAATAATAAACAGATTAGAAACAATATTTAATGTTATTTATTGCGCGGCCTTCGGAATTATTTTTCCCAGAATGATCTGATGATACAAGGCAATGTGAAACCATTTTCTGGTTTTCAAGATGTGACTAAATCTATTGCTGTGTAGTTTGATGTAATATGCAAGAGCCACTTATGAATAAATTGAAGCCTACTAAATTAGTTACAGCAAAGTACAGCAATTATTGAAGGTGATTATTATAAAGATAATAATATAAATTTAAGGTGAATCCAAATCAAAATGACGAACCAAAGGAGCATGCACGGGCAGGTTGGAGTTCTTTTTGTAAATTGAATTGTATGAAAGAAAAATACAAATGTGGCTTCAGGGGAACATTTTCAATGGGTACATGACATGAACAGGAACATAGCCAATGACAAAGAAAATTGAACAGAAGCTGAAAAGTGCACCAAACAGCATGGTGAGATGCATTCTGGAAATTACACCCAAGAGACAGAAAGATTGAAGACAGGGATCAGAAAACACAAATCAGACACTTGTTAATGTAGGTAAGTAGGCAGGGACAGGGCACATTGTTTAAAAAGTTTGGTTGATGGTCGATGGATGGGAATAGTGATGGAGTGACAGCCAAGGGAAATATTGCACATGCAAGGACAATCGCCCAAGAGATGGAGTAATGGGATGACTGTGTACTGGAGCGAGATGGATCGTGGGACCATGAGGAGTTGCGGCGACAGGAGAGGCAGTGGATAATATGGCTGATGATGATAGCAAACACTTTAAATGCATTGATTCAACTCATATTTGCAATATACAAATAAAAACACAAAAAGTTTACTACATTATTGGAATATAAGCACATGTTTAGCATTAGAATATGCATGTGCATATACCTAAAGGACAGGAACTTCTGTACAATACAAGCTGTTTATATATTATATGTTGATTTTGGGAAAAGTTAAAGTTTGTTTCCACTCTCCAATTTATTTAATAAACCTTAAACGTTTATCACAGTAAATGTTATATGAACAACAATGACAACATGTAAACGCAGAGAGCAGACTTTAGCAATGTAGGCTGTGAAGGGGGCCAAGTAACTTGAATGTCAGGGTGGAAACGAATCACAATTCACATGAGATGAAGGGAGATTGGTAGAACAAGTGGGTCAAATGGTCGCTGTAACCATGTGCAACTTCCAGGAATTAAAGAAAAGCAACAGAGCGACGGTGAGAGGCAGTACAACTTAATGATTGAAAATAAATATGGAAATCAGCTGCAAACAATACTGAGCTGAATGTGCTTTAAAAAAAAAACTTCACATGCAGGCACTGAAACCAACAAGAGAAAAATGAGCACTCAGCAAAGTCTAAAGACTTGACTGTATTCGGGCCCTTGACAAATCTAAACCTCACAGGACATCGCATTGCAAAGAGGGCCGCTACGTGAGACGGCTGTTGGGTTCATCGATTCATTGTCTTTCCCAATGGTGTGCGACACATATGTCAATACCCGACTTCGAGGAGTCGTTGCGAGGGGGTTGATGTCCATGGGGTGGTGTGCTGTTCCCTGGCCGGGTCCAAAGCAGCCAGGACATGCGTACTCCTCCTCCAGCTGGTTGTCCACATGCCCACGTCGCGCCCCAGCCATGGTCGCGTCGCAGCCCCTGTGCACCCACCTGCCACACAGTCATTGCCCTGTTCATCACTGGCCAGAAGGTCATCGCCGGACAGGAAGTGAAAGTGTCAGCGATAACGAAAAACAATTAGTTATTGGAGATAGGGTCAAGTTGGCCACTGCAGTTTGGGTACTCGGGTCATGAATTGGAAGGTTGAGAGTTCAGATGTCAGTCTTAAGATCAGCTCAGCTGATCACCTAACTGGATTATATAAAGTACCACCTTGTGGGTAAACAGTGACTATTGTTCTATAGAAAATAGGCCCCCATCATTAAAAAAGTAGAATGCCACCAATGGCTCAGGGCAGGCAATTAAGTGCCTCATTGAGAAAAAATTTTTTATTGGGAATTATATGCCATGCAAAAAGTGATACATCCATGGCAATATTTTAAAACTAATCAATATTCAAAAACTTAAAGTGAAAACTGTATACTTAATGGGCTATGCAGTTATTGGTGACTGGACTGAGGCCATCAAATAAAAAACTCAACAACTTTATTCATTTTTGGGTGTCAAAATTAAAACTCAGTGGTGCCAACCCACTTTCGACATGGACACCCCCCCCCCCCCAAGCTACCTGGCCTAGAGTACAGTAAAACCTCTCAGACGGATTTTGGGGACAGCCTTTCCAGTTATAGAGAATGTCTGGCATACTACAAATACTAATCTTCTATATATATAAAAAGGTCAAAATTTGTCTGTGGGTTTGTGTCATTGTTTGTGTGTGGGTTTGTGTGTTTGCGCGCTTGAAGGATTTGGCTCTCCAACGGTGGTGTTCACGTAAAATAAAAATAGCCAGGTTCCACTCCTTAAGCCCCGCCCATGAGCAAGCGGTATTCCCTTTTTCACAGTCCGTCAACTTTTAATTAGTTTAATTAGCGGTTTAGTGCGATTTCTGTGCGCTTTTTATGACGCGTGCACAACCATACCAACTCACACGCCTTTCGTGGGGAGGACGGCCCATGCCAAATCGCACGCCTTCGGTTGGAGTGAGGGGGACATTTTCTTCCGCGTTAAAAATGCTATAAAAATACACTAAACGCTCAGATGAATTCTTCACTCTGTGATGTCCCCCCCACCCCGATGAGTGCAGTTACTACTATACAGTCGCTAGATGCTACCACTATAGGCCGTAGATATTACAGCAGAGCGGCCGGGGAGATCGTGGCTGGGGGGGGGGGGATCAGGGGTAGCAGTCTAGCCCCAGTCTGCCAAGGTGCCACCTCGGCCGGCTTGACAATCTAGGCGAGGCCAGAGGCTCTGCATGGGACTAGGCCTCACCACGCCACTCTGTCAGGTGAGTACTTTGTGCTATAGAGTCGATAAATACTGCTATAGAGTCCACATGTACTACTGTAGTGATAGCAGGTACCACCACAGTCGGTATGCACTGCTGTAATCATAGCAGGTACCACCAGTCAGTATGCACTGCTGTTAAGATTTTTAAGAGTAGGTTTTAAATTTATTTTTGATCCGGGCGATTGATCTTTCCCTCGGTTTCAGACTTCTTGGTGCCAATCCAATGCCTGCATTGATAACCATATCTCCTCTAACCTTTTGCATGTGTCCACAATGCAATCATCGCTCGAGGTTCATAAAGTCACAATTTTGGCAAAATGTTCTGTCCAATTATGAATGTGAAATATTCACTGCCAGCTCAGAAGCAGTCAATGGACATGAGTAGTACCCCATGCTCATTTAAGCAGGGAGATACTTTCTCATGAACACTTTAGATTCAGATGCACTCACCTCTGACAGAGCTGGCAGAGCAGCATGACAGCATCCTCTTGACTCGTCTTCCCACAGAGCAGGCACAGCTGGCTGTGGCCCCTCTGCCGGTGGCAAGTCTCGCAGAGCGAGTAGTTCTGGTACCACTGTGCACTCACGCTCAACCCAGGGCTCCTGGCCCCACAGTCTTCGCACACACGGCAGTTCTGGCAAAGACAAGACCAAATATTTCCCGTTTAATCTTATAGATTGTAGGGACAACTGTTAGAAAGGGCTGATTATTATAAGCATGGCACAACAGAGGGAGTTCTGGCCAGTACCATACACACTTTGTCTCCTTTGACTTCAAGTGCTTCAGTCTACACTCCCTGCTAAAAATCCATTGTATGAGTTAATTGGGAGAGTGCCCATGCCAGGTTAAAACACCAAATGCCATTGACATTGTGCACCATAATAACATAATCCAAATCACTGGGATTGTAGTGCAATATGCAAACCAGAAGACCACAACTCACCATGTATGTGACAATGAAACAAGTAAAAAAGTGAAAACAAAATCTCAGTAAACCATAATTATTATAATTTGGTCATTAAATTAACATGATTTAAAACTGGTTAGGAATGGTGTCATTCACCTGTAATTCAGCGACTCAAGGGTTGGAGTTGTTGAATCACAACATTGTGCGAGATGCCCACCAGCAGTAAAAGAGGTGCCACTGGGGAGGCAACATCACAAGGATGTTGGACCTATCTGTATGGAGTGCGAGTGTTATCCTCTCTCCTTATGTGGTGGTTTCCCACAGGTACTGCTGTAGACTTACAAAAAACATCTCAAATAAAAATGGCCAAACATGGCAATTGCAGGACCTTCCTGAGAAAGATATGACAATGGCACCTGCCTCGTTAATGTTAAAAACCTTATGAATTAATTTTCTTCCAAGTTACAAGCCTAAAGACTCTAGTGGTTTACTATAGGGTCCATAGTTTGGGTTGCATGGCCACAATGGCACTGTGTGCAGCAGCCTGTTTATGTTCTGACGTTGTTGACGGTTCACACAAGTGTCTTCAAATAATATCCACGCTAGGAAGTGTGATGTGTAGGTCTCGTCAGTGTTGTTCCACTCTATTCACCAGTGTTCTTCTGGATCTGGCTGAGATTCTAATATGGTGGTGAGGTACATTGTTGAGGTCTTTGTTGATGGGTAGATTGACATTGGCAAGAAAACGTGTAAACTCTCTTGCAGTCTGCATGTCTATGCAGATATTTGATGGCAAAATGTTAACCAGTACAGGGAGCCAGGGGGTTGGTGTTGCTTTCAGTGTTCCGGTTATGATGCGCATTGTTGCTTGTGCATCAAGCAATTCTGGTGGTTTAACAAATCAACAAAACAACCACTTGACTTAAAGCTTTCGTGACTGCAGGAATTCATATTCTTTGGGTCTTCGGTAAAGTCACATAGATAGGTTCAAAGAAAACAACAAAAAACTACGACGTTTCGATCGCAACACAAGCGGTCCTGATGATGACTGCTTGTCTTGCGTGACATTACCGAAAGACCCAACGAATATGAAAATACCCACTGTTGAGTTCTCACAAGTAAGAAAAGTTACTGACCCGTATGGGATGAGCCATGTTGACCGAAATCGCGATTTAAAATAAAAGCTTCTTGATTACAAGTTAAGCTTTCAGTTGCATAAAATAGCTCAAAATGTCTGCTTAACTTTTACTTTTAAGGCAGCATGTTGGGTCTTATTTACAGTCAACTGTCAATACTAAGTTGATTTTTTGAGTGTCCTATTAAGATGGTGATTTTCGGGGCAGAACAGATTGTGCCTCCGCATGATAAGAGTAAACATAGTGGGTGCTACAGGCTCTTCACTTACCTTGCACTTCCAGCTGTTTTTAGGGATAATATTCATGGGCGGGTCGCAAACAGAATGTGTGATAGCCCTTGTCCACAGGTGTCGCACACAAGCATCTTGCTGTCATCGCCAGATTCCCTATTAAAGCACAGCATACCACCACAGGTTATCCAGTTAGTTTTTACCTTTGAAGACCACACATATCTGTCTCTCAAATAAAACCGAAAAAACAAAGCACGATGATAAGTCGCAATTATCCTTGTCATTTTGTATCCTAATAAGATCTCACCTTAATAAACGAGTGAAATGATTAACAAGCGTGTGCTCTTGGCCACAGCATGGCCACCCTCTAGCTAATCCATACAACCACATCCAACACAAACTCTACATTATCGGTGGACAGCCCAATGTCACACTTTAGTCCAACCACAGGCAGTGCATGTGTACCATTTGGTGTCATAAATCTACAATTTGGCAATTCATTCCATTAACTGAGCATTAACTTTACAACAAATGCTCAAGTTTTAATAACCCCAAAAATAAAGCGATTCCAAAGCTATTCACATATCACGACATGGTTGACAGCTAATATGACAGGTTGAGTATGATAAATGCTTAACTCTGAGAATGTCTTACATTCATAATCACAAATGTTTCAAGTGTGCTTGTGTGTACAACCCCATACCCATGTTTACGCTTACACAAGTTATTTAAAGCAGGCCATCCTTAACATTAACATGCTTTGTAAAATGAATTCCATTTATACCAACAATTACATCAGATTTGGGCATCGGTAATGTTAGTTATAGTATGTTTAGTCATCTTTATTCAAATTAATTAAGACATTCAAATGCATTCAGCGTTTAAAGACAGGGACATGCACAGAGACGAGATGAAGCCAGAAGGTTTGGCTGCTATGGAACATAACGTCAATCCAACCTAAACCAATAACATCCATAAAAAAACCTCTAACTACACTCCCTTACAACCAGAACCAGGTACGACTCGGTTTAATAATGCATGGCTCATTAAGGATTTCAGTACAATTGAAAAGGAAAGCAGCAATTTCTTCAAGTGAGCAAAAATTGGTCCAAAGCAGATTCAGCAGCATGAAGAGTCACACAAGATAATTACTGGGTAATGGTGGAATGAATTTTAACATGCGTGAACTGAAAATTACACCAAAATTAGAGTAACATTTGTTCCGGCTACAGAACCCTCAGATCAGTGCCTCGGGAGAAAAAGACTCATCATTGTTGTATCCAACTTTTACTCCTCGACTTGTCTCATAGAATGTGCAAAATAATAAAAGCTTCTACCTTACTTAAAAAAAATATCTTCAGGTAACTCACTTGTATTTTAATGCATTGCCGCTTGTTATTGTTAAAGATTGTGAAGCATTTTGTATCCTCCTGGGATAGCTCGATCAAGTTGAGTTGGAAGTGGGAGGAAAAGGGCATCAATAATATTTACTGCTATCAATAAGGACCATGAACAGGTATGTCCCCAGTGCCATTCCAGCAAACCTTCTTGCCACTACAGCATCTCCTAAAAATAACGTGGGCAGATATAGTCCCGAATACGATAGCGGTTTTTAATAAGGAATGTGAAAAAAAATCTGAAACGGCACTTCCGAAGCTCCAATATTTAACATCATGCAAAGCAATGGTGACATGTTGTTATCCGCATCTCCACACAGCACAGAAACGTCTTGTTCCAGGCAGTTCAAGTTCACAACTGTACTTTACAATTACTGTAGCACTGCATTGTGCATTACAGGATTAATTGGCTTTAGTTTTTTAGAGGTTTCAGTCATATTTAAAAAATATTTGTTTTATTGTAAATTTTTCTAACCTAAAAAGTAATACAGTAAAAACCCTTACAAGCAGGGTTTTAGTACTTACATTAAACCCAGTTTTCATAGCTGGCCATTGTCATGTTTTTTTCTCGTGAGATGCAGGTTGGCTCTAACCCCATAAAGATTCACGCTAAGAAGTAGCTGCACCCTCGAGACCTTTTATAACCTCCACTTCCAGGAGTCTTAACATTTCTGCTAATAAGGCTCCGCTTCCTACATGGGTCCAGTGGGAATTTCGATCCTCCCCAGACAGGCCTTGGGGTTGACCCGGTGAAATCCAGCCTGAATCCAAGCCTGATTATACTCCGGACCTACTTGTCCCCGAGTGTTCCTCCCCTCGAGGCAAACAGCATGGCAGCCACCCCCCCCCCCCCCCCCCCCCCCCCCCCAGTCTGCCGGGTGCCGGAGCCAGCAGGCCCTCAGCACGCCAATCCCCCCTTCTCTCTGGGCCAGTCTTCTGGGAAGTCTAGCCCGAACGAAACTGCTTCTAACTCGTGCTCTGGGAATTGCCAGTGCCACTTTCCAGTCCCATGAAATTATCAAAAGAGACTGTTGGGGCGGATAAGCAAGTCTCTTTTTTTCCCTTCTTCCCTCATCCTGTTGTTCCAACAAGGCCTGTGCTGCAATTCCGAACAGCAACTTCCCTCCCACCAAGAATTGTGTAAGGGAAACACCTTCAATAACCACCACCGTCGGGTCCATGGGACTTCTTGCTCTTGACTGCGATCATCTCCATCCTTAAATTGGGCTATTGCCCCGAGACTGTTCAACAGGCATCTTTTAAGCCGAGTGCCTTGCGTTCTTTTATGCTATCATTCTATTTTGACGAAGCAAGGTGGGTCATCATCCAAGTCCTGAAACCCCATGGGTTTATCAATTTGATTTGGCATGGTGGGGGTCTCTGAGACCTCCTAGGATCGGCCCTCTCAAACCAGGCCCCCCATGGGCCCTCCTGGGACTTCTTAAAAGGGCCTCTCTCTCAGGCCTGTCTTGACGTTCTCCTCAGTCTGAGACTTTTCAAGGCTCTGCCAGTGCCAAGGACACTATGTCCATTTCCCAAAACACACGTAGTCAGAGCCCGAGGCCTGCTCACAGACATTCTACATACGGGATAGGCTGCGGAGCGCAGTATCACGCCAATTCAGCTCTTATTGCCATAATGTAACATGTTACCTGCAGATAATTATATGCGGGTAATAGGATGAATTTGCCACACCAGTGCTTTTATCTGTGAAAAAAAATCACTGTTAAATGAACATCTAAAGTACAGCTGTGTCTTATTATTCTCAGTCTCATGTATTTTGTTTCATTGGTATTTTCCATCTTGCTTATCCTCTCATTTATTACGTCTCGTTTGGCCTGTCTATTGCATCTGTATTGTTCATCTAGTTAATGTCCGATGCTTACACATGTAATTCAAACACGCATTGTAAAGGGTAAAAGCATTTTAATCAATGAACCGATGCATCTTTACATACCCGGTGTGAATCGACCATTCCGATGGCAGGGCCCAAGCTCACATAGGACAGCCACTGGTGAATTCTCAATTAGCTACTGTTAACCAAGTGGTGCTTATTTACTAACCCACTAGTGATCAGATACCAAGGCAACTGCTAAACTATCTGGTATCCAGGAAAAATGGGTTTTAACAATTTTGCATGACATTTATCAAAATACGACTGGATACGCCCCTTCATTCATTCATTTGGCTGCTATACGTGTCCACATTATACGCCACTATGTTGAGCGATAATTTGTGGCCAGATCACTTGTGAAAAAGAGCTGTATAGGTCAGTGCGCCTTACTTGGTAAATTCAACTAACTTCGCTGGGTCAGGTCACCAACTCCTCTATTTACTGTCCACATGAAATGAACTGCTGCATTTGCTTTCCCTTCATTTATATTCTACAAGGTCTTTTGGCTTGCATGTGTGCAAATCTTCGCATTTCCCTTAACATGTTGAAAAAAAGGAGGTTCAGTCGATATTAAAGATTGTTTAACACATAGATAGGACAATGGGTTTGAATGTATACACATTATTGCAATCTATTTGTAGCTGTGGTTTATATTATAACATTTTGGCATATTTGTACTTTTTCTATTCTCTTCTCTGAATCGAGTGTTTTAATAACGTTCGTTTTTAGAAGCAGTTTAGTTTTATGTATATTTATTGCATTATTATAATATTTTGCTAATTAAACCGAAGATTTTGTTCTCCAGTGTACATGAACCCAGTCAATTTACTTAAAGTGACCCCCTGTTTCACGGTAGGTACTCAGAACACACGTTCTACTACCTCTCTGTTAACAAGGTGTGTGAAAGTCAAGTGAGCATTATCCTGGTGACAAAATTTGTTTGGAAACATGTGCATATGCAGTACTATTCTATTTCGTATTTATATAGCTATATAGCTGTCTGTATACATATATAGAGCACTGTCATCATCAGCCATTGTCTATCCACTACTGGCAAGATACACACACAATCTTACTCTGACTTAAAGCTTTCGTGACTGCAGGAATTCATATTCAAAGGGTCTTTTGGCAAAACCACGTAGATAGAAAAATAATAAAAAAATAAAAATATCACGAGACGTTTCCATCGCAGCACAAGCAATCGTCATCAGGTGAAAAAAATCTAGTGGGAGAGCTGAGGCAGGATAAAATATAGCGGGAGAGCTGCTGAAGCAGGATGTTATGAAGGTTTGAGATGGGTGTAGCCCAAGGGTAAGTGGGCGGGGCTAGAGATGGAATTTGCATGTCAATGTAAGATTGGAGAGCTGCTGAAGCAGGATGTTATGAAGGTTTGAGATGGGTGTAGCCCAAGGGTAAGTGGGCGGGGCTAAGAGGGGAATTTGCATGTCAATGTAAGATCGGACAGCTGCTGAAGCAGGATGTTATGACGGTTTGAGATGGGTGTAGCCCAAGGGTAAGTGGGCGGGGCTAGAGATGGGTGTAGCCCAAGGGTAAGTGGGCGGGGCTAGAGATGGGTGTAGCCCAAGGGTAAGTGGGCGGGGCAAGATATGGAAGCAGCCCAAGGGTAAGTGGGCGGGGCTAGAGATGGAATTTGTATGTAAATTATTGATCGGAGAGCTGCTGTACCTCCAGGACTACGAAGCTGTGGAGGTGGCCATTGTATTGTGAGAGATTAGCATGTCAATGTAAGAAAACCACTGCAACGGTGGCTGTGTTAAAGTAGGTTCTGAATTTTGTTATTGTATGTGGTTTTGTCCATGATGACAGTGGCATTGACCTTGTCCGCTGAGAGGATGACTGTCATC